TAGCAGCAAAAAGAAATTTATTTACACGCAGCGTGGCCAGAGGGGATGTGTTTATTATAGAAACGCAGAAAAAGTCGACATGCCAATGGCAAAAAAAAAAATGAACAAGCAGACACGTTGAGCACTCTTTCGTACGCCGGTAGACCGATTCCCGAGAGTCGTTTCCGTCGCTCTGTCTCTCTCGCACCCATACGGGACGCCCCATGAGTGCGAGAGAGACAGAGTGACGAAAACGACTCTCTGAATCAGTCTGCGTGACATAATGCTCCGGTGAGCCAGGCGGCGAGAGAGGGCGACAAATGTGCCACTCCGCGTGTCAAGAGGACTTGGCTGCCTTGGATAGCATACACGCCGCGTTTGAATAACGGCGGGAGAACTTTTGTTCCACGCGATGAGCGATTTCGTCGCCCTGTCTCTCTCCGGGGAAGGGGTTATGGGGGCAAACTAGCACCTCTTTGGAAGGCGTTAATTTAGGTGTGAAACACCGCCGAGAGAGAGAGCGCGCTCTGTTCGGGACTCTGTCTGCAGCATCCGCAGCTTGCTGCTCTGCGTTCTACTGCAACCCCCTCCCCCACGTGCCGTTCACGTGGAGAGGGCGGGCGAGCCACGCAAAATTGGCAAACTGCGATGTTGGCGGATTATCGCGCCACGCGGCCGGTCCGCCGATAACGCCAACACCACCACCACCATGGCGCACCATGGCGCGCTAGGAGTGACCCAAGTACGCCCGACCCGCGAACGTACTTACGTCCTTCAACAGTGTGCCGCCAAGGGGGTCACGTTTCGTGGTCCCAAAGAGTACGACACGGGGGGGCTTGGGGGAGGGACGGGGGGAGGGACGGAGAAAGGGAGGGACGGAAGGACGGAGGGAGGGAGAGCGAGAGAGGGAGAGAGAGGTGGGGCGCGAGTTCGACGCCCGGCGAGCGCTACCTGTATACGCCTGCATCGCCACTGTACTGAACCAGCACACGGGGCCCACGGGGGCCCACGCCCACGGGGGTCATGGGAAGGCGACCCGGCTAATGTCCTACGGTCCAACGGCCCGCGAGCCGCGCCGCGCTTGCCGCCACACCAGAAATGCGTTCCTGCGTCGCTATTGGGCTATTGTCTTCATCGGAGCCGCGGATAAACAGGCCGTGCCGCGCTGCCGCGCTGGCGCAGTGCTGCCTCCGCTTTTCTGGCCCGCTTTTGCCGCGTCCGGTCCACGCGGCAGCATCCGTTCGACACGCCACGCGTCACTAGCCTCGCGCTGTCTCTCTCGCACCCCTCCGCAGCGCCCCACGAGTGGGAGAGAGAGAGGGAGAGAGAGAGAGAGAGAGAGGAGAGAGAGAGGAGAGAGAGAGAGAGAGAGAGAGAGGAGAGAGAGAGCGAGAGAGAGAGAGAGCGAGAGAGAGAGAGGGAGAGAGAGAGAGAGAGAGAGAGAGAGAGAGAGAGAGAGAGAGAGAGAGAGGAGAGAGAGAGAAAGAGAGAGAAAGAGAGAGAGAGAGAGAGAAAGAGAGAGAAAGAGAGAGAGAGAGAGAGAGAGAGAGAGAGAGAGGAGAGGGAGAGAGAGAGGGAGGGAGGGAGAGAGAGAGAGAAAAAAAAAGAGAGAGAGAGAGAGAGAGAGAGAGAGAGAGAGAGGGAGAGAGAGAGAGCTGTTTGGAATGAGACTGCAGTGCACACCGGCACGGCGGCACGGCGCGCACGCGACACGCGACCTCCTATCTTCCCTTCTCTTCCACGGCGCGCGACGGGCGCCGCTCGCGCCGCCCTGTCAGAGTCTGTCCGGCTGTGTCCGGCCACCGACTTGCATGCAGCACATTCCGACTCCGAGAGTCGTTTTCGTCGCTCTGTCTCCCTCGCACTCATAGGGCGCCCCGTAAGGGTGCGAGGGAGACGGAGCGACGAAAACGGCTCGGCATCAGTCCTGCAGGCGCCGAGCGCAATGCACGCAAGGCCGGCCCCTTTCCACAAAACAAGCAGCCCTTTTATTCGCCGCGTCCAGCGGCCGCTTCCAACTGCAGCGGGGAGATTAATTGGCGACGACAGGATACGAAACGGTTCACGCCAAAGCAGTTGATGACATTGTCGTCACAATAAGCCCACGACATGCCCTCGCAATAAGTGTAGCAATTTTGATTTGTAATGAAACTGTCATCATTTTTGAATGGAGGCAAATGTCATACAGGCGGTTGACGACAAATTTTTCCAGTGAGCACGCAGAAGTGCGACAAGTACGGCCACCGAGCTGTTGACCCCCAGTCGCCTTGACCTTACGGCCCAATTGGCGTGCCTAAGCGGCAGAAAAAAAAATGTTATTCACAGCCGCATTAAGGACTCCAGCGAGGACTCCTTTCATCCGTCTTCATTGGTCTATTTGCAGCGACGCTTTGGCCGCGCTTTGCCACCGAGTGAGTTTGCCACCCACTGTCTCAGGCCGCATCGCAAACGCAGAAATAATTTTGAAAAAAATGTACAGTGAAGTCGCGTTCGGCGAAACTCCGACTTTGCCACTTTCGGCTCAGACCCTCACGGGCCATGGCCATGTGCAACAGAAATTACACGGGCAGAAACTTACAGCGCCGGTTCGTAATTTAGATCGACGATACGTACTTTATAATTGACGTCAGAGAAATTTATCACAAGGCCTTGGCCTTGTGGAAGTCGATAGCCATCCGGAGCTATCGGTAAACATAAAACCGTCGTCTCATCCCGGCGTCGCAGAGCGTAGTAACTGTAGTAACTGTGTAACAATACACCACGGGGGTCGCGAAGCGACGCGCCAAGGCGCGGGGGCGCACAGTGGGCCAGAAGACCGGCGGAGGCGGCCAAAACTCTAGACGCGTTTTGAGCTTCAGAGTCGCTAAGGAACCAGAATCGAACGTGTGACCCCACCAATCGATTGCTCTCCGAACGAGGAATTCATTGGTGGGGTCACACGTTCGGTTCGAGTCCTGTTTACCGACACTGGAGCTCAAAACGCTTCTAGAGTTTTGGCCACCTCTACCAATCTTCTGGCCCACTGTGGAGCGGATCCAGACGCGGGTTCAGGGGGGCCATGTCGCGAAAGTTGCCTCCCTGCAAGGATAAGTGAGGCTTCTTGCCTACCTTCCAGGCTGCTTCACCCCCTCCCCTGAATCCGCGCCTGCGAAGGCTGAAGGCCGAGGCAGACTGATTCCATGAGTCGTCATCGTCGCTCTGTCTCTCTCTCACTCGTGGGGCCTCCCGCATGGGTGCGAGAGAGACGAGCTGCGCACGACCGCGAAGGACCCGCGGCATTGGTTGGGGGACAAGATGAAGATTGGGCCAGAGTCCAGCGACGCGGTGCCGCGGTGCGCGGGGCGACTGGACTGGGACACTGTACACTGTGTGCCGCGGACAACACGGCCACATTTCCCCGCGGCATATCGCGACGTGTCCTGCCAGAATGGCCAGAATCTCTGGTGTCGTATCATTTTCCGGCAGCAGGCGGGCAGGCAGAGCTGGCGGGCAGGCCTCCGGGGGAATTCCCTCTGCCGGCCGCCCCGCCCCAGCAGGCAGGCAGCAGGCTGTGCTGCGCAGCGATTCTTAACTCGACTTGCTGACTGCCTGGCTGACTGCCTGGCTGCCTGCCTGGCTGCCTGGCTGCCTGGCTGCTCTGGCTTCCGCGATGTGAAGTGTGCGGGATGGCCCCGTGTGGGGCCACGCCAGGCCGCGCGGGGCGCGGGGCGCGCCCGGCTGGCGGGGCAGGGCGGCACCGCCTCGTATCGCCATTGTTACACAAGCGTGACCCTGTGACCAGGCTGCAGACTGATTCCGAGAGTCGTTTTCGTCGCTCTGTCTCTCTCGCACTCATGGGGCGTCCCGTTCAGGTGCGAGAGAGGCAGTTTGCAGGGCTGACCCAGGCTGACCAGGCTGGGCCGGGCTAAAGCTGGCTGTGCCTCTAGCCCGCGGCCTGGGTCGGCCTGACATGGACCGCATCATACGATCGCGAGCCCCAACAAGTCACAGGGGAGAGGGGGGAGGTTGGGTGCGGGGGCAGGGGAGAGAGCGCCACTAAAGCAGGGCCTGCGTGGCGACGGACAGACAGACCGGCCGGGCACTTGGGAGAGGGAGCAGGGAAAAGAAACGACAGTAGACTTCCAGTTTGAAAGTTAGAACAGAGAGGTGGCAATAGCTCACAGGTCATGGAGCTACACTATACACTTTTCCTCGACCCTTGTAAGAAGAACGCAAACCCAGAGGGAGACTGAGGCTGGCACTCGTAAAAGAGGTACCGTTGAAAAGACAGCTGATGGGTGGAGACAAAACCATCGTATTCACCACCAAACTGAGTCTCTTCTTTCCAGCTTGTAGACATTGCATTTGGAAAGTGCTTTTGCATTTCTTGGATCTCCAAATGAGTCACAAGAATCCGCTTCAAATAACATGGTATCAAAAATGACAAAACAGATTGCCACTGAGCCGTTCAAAAAAAGAGAAGATAAACTTGAGTGTGCAGACTTTCATAATGAAACCAAAAGGACTGTATCTAATCAACACACAGACAGAAATCTTCACAGAAGGCCGCCTATTCATCTTTATCATACATTGAATGATGTAAGGCTCTCAATGAAAAGGAAACAACAACATTTGAAAACCTGGTAACAGGTCTTCAATAAAAAATTAAGTCGTTATCATCGCGAATGAAATAAAATAAAATTAATGAAATTATGAGGGGCAATAAAATTTACTAGCTGGGTAAAAGTGACAACAAGTAAACTGTTGGCCTCAGGCCTCAAATCATGGGCAAGTAGATCTTCTGCTCGTCTCTCATAAATAAGTACTGTACAGCATCAGAACACGTAGAGTCAACCAAAAAACAAAGAAAATTATTACCGTACCGTCTGTATGGTTGTCATCAACCAACATCAATGAGCGAAATCATGCACCGGGTGGCGATTTCTGCACAAACGTGCTAACTGTATTAACATAACCTATTAACATACTGATCAACGAACGGACCGAAAAGAATACATTCGAGTCTTTACACTTCGACTTACCCCTCAGAATGGTACAGATGTCGTGCGGCTCCAGAAAGTCAAGTACAGGAGGATTTCATACACTCCTTAAAGGTTTTTGCACACGTAAGAGCTAACCCCGCCAACGCCGACGATGCACTGTTGCTGTTGTTGTGATGATGCACCTGTGGCGCCAGTGCTGCTACCTGCTGGCCACCTTTGCAACTGATTTGCAAATAGCTGGCAGGTGCGTGCAGTCGAAGGCTGAGGTGTCGACTGGGGCCGAACACTCCTGTGCTCCGTTTGTTTCTGATATCTGCGATTCGGCTTATCTTTAAACGATAGTAGTTACTGAGCACTTAAGATATTTGTCACATCTGGCCCGGAGCAGGAGGAGACGGACGAAGGAGAAGAGACGGGAGGGGAAGAGGGGCAGGGGCAGGTAGGGCAGGCAGGGAAGTTCCAATTGAAAGCACAATCAGATTTTTTTTTTTTTTTTTTTTTTTGTTCTGGATTTTCAATTTTAATTCAATAACAATATTTTGATGGACAAAAAAAAACATTCTAATAACAATGATTCTTTTTTTAACCCGCCCAAGAGTATTCACACAATAAGACATGCCAATACACACAAACACACTCAAAAAGTGAAAATCTTAGTACAGCTAAAATAAACATTGCAGGTAAAAAAAAAATCATAATCCAACCTCACCAAAAGACACCATAATAATAACTACAGAACTAGCAGCTAAACAAAGTTCATTGCTCTCTTATGTACACACGTCAATATAATACAGAAAAATATACACATTCTTGATGCATTTACTGATAACAGCCTTTTAATCAAAAAGGGAAGTCCCATGATCTTCAATCCATTCCTGGTGGAAGTGGTTCAGATCCTACTGCATTCTCTGCAATATTATCTTCTCGAACATCAATTGTGAGTCCATCAGGAGACATCTGCAAACAAAGGAAAAGTTTAAAAGACAGAATTTACAACAAGTTTGTTAATTTTACTGAGAACAAAAACCACATGTGAAACCAGCTTGAGACTCACCGGCTCCACTGTTTGTGCATCATATTCCTCTTGAACTACATGTCTTGTGCCAGTCAGAACGTCCATTACTGACTGTGGGACATGAGACCGCTGATTCTCAGTAAAGGATTGAACGTGTTGCAGGAGTGGCTGTCTCATTTCTGGACAAGCCTCTAAAACTTCTTGTAGTTGTGGTGCAGGCAATTGCAGAAGCACTTGGAAGCTCTGAGGCTTTGTACGTTGACAGCATTTAATAAAACCCTCCCACACCTTGCGCTGGGTCCAAACTTGCTTTAAAATCAGCCTCTGAAGGATATTCATGACAAATCCACTGAGATTGGGATATGCAGCCAGAGACTGAATAACAGTACGCATCAGGAGAGTTGGTAAGGGATTCATTTCCATCAATTGCTTCATTACTATGGCCAATACTTCTTGAGTATAAGCCTGCCTTTCAGAGAAGCACAAAGTAGTGGCCTTAATAACAGTCTTTAGTTCACACTTTTTGGGGTCAATAACATGCAAAGCTACAAGTAGCTCTGCTGGTGTTAATGGTGAATTATGACTTAGGGAATCTGAATGTGTTCCTAGCAACCTGTTGAAGACTTCTTTGACAACAATAGGATTCAGTTTGATAAGTCTAGGGAGGGAGTCAATAACTTCCCTTTTAGTCAAACCATTCAACACAGGAATCAAGAACCGAACATCTGATACCCTTGACTGATACAGTTCCCTGACTCTCTTGACAAGTTCAGCACTAGGAGGGGTCTTATCTGTTAGGATTTGAATGACTCTCGTGACTAAGGTCTCAGCCCCTTTAGGACAATCTTCCACTAGTTTCAGCAAGTCTGGGGAGTCCATGCCCATGCCTCTAACAGGAGTGTCCAGCAACCGTAAGATAATGCGTTTTACATCTGCTACAGTCTGAACATATACCCGAGTCAACCTAAAGAAAATGAGAAAGCAGTATATTAATACAAAGTTAATTTCACTCTGTAGCAGAAACAGCAAGTGGGTAAAATAACAATTACTCATGAATTAATCGGTGCTCGTGAGGCAAAAGCTCAAGGTATAAAAACAAACAGGCTTTAGTTGGCCCTTCAGCCCAGCTGTCTGCCCTGGCCGGGCGTCCTCTCTCTGCACCAAACAACACATCTGGAGGGGCTGGTAGTTGGAGAAAGCCCAGGTACATGATTGCATACTCTTCTATAATTGATCGAAGATCAGACCGATCATCATAAAGTGAAAGGACACACTTCATGGCATTGGATCGAACCTGGAATGAGGAACCTCAAGTAGAATAAAAACAAAGTCAGGTATATGATTATAGAAAACAATGGATTATGCTCACCTCTACACTGTCATGGGCAGTGTGTTCCAGTAAAGCATTCAGATAAGTGAGTTGTTTTGGAGGACGCCTTATAACAAGGCTTTGCAAAAGTTGCAGTCCAATAGAACATCTTGTTTCATCACAACTTAGTGCCTTCAAAATGTCAGTAGCATCATCAGTAATACAGGGTGCCTCCAAATATAACCGTTTGAGGAGGCTGCAAGAAATATTTAAGTACTGGTAAATGGCAGACATCAAAAGAAACAGTGATAATAGTTAAAAATGTTACATATACATACGGTTCTCTCTCGGGTTTCTCCGCCAAATGCTCAGCAAGCGCACAGAAGAGTTTAACATATCTTTTTGAGGCAGAGTCCTCATCAGTAGTAAACACTGGTTTTTTAGTGAAACTCTGCATCATACTGTATTCCTCATAAAGCCATGATATAGCTAACTCCAAATCCAATCGGTTTTGTAAATCCTCCAACACAAATTTAAGTATATCTGAAAAAGAAAGAGAAATTATGAAACCAGTATATACTAAAGGACCAAGAATCTCAATTAAATATAATATAGATTAATGAGTCTGAACATACCTCTCCTAACATCTGCATTGTAAGTAGAGGCTAGCGTGACAATTATTTTGTTGCGTATGGAGTTGACACCACCAAACATGGCTATTTTTTCAGCATTCAATATACGTTTAACAGCAGAAAGGCACATCTTGGTTTTCATTTCTGGACCTGCCAGAGTTCACGGGAGAAATAGACATGGGTTAACAAAAGTTATTAAATAATACCCTCTCGAACAGTATCTTTACTGTAACTCACTAAGGGGTCTCGTTATTTCTGCAAGTTTTAAAGCTCGAGCCTTCTGTTTCAATGGTCTTGTCAGGGGTGTCATTGGTGTAAGTTCCTTCAGCTTTTCTCGTTGAGCTAGAAGCTGCTCAGATGATTCCCGCTGGTGAAGAATGGGTCCTTCTAAATCATCCCCATCATGGTCCATGAGTTCCTCCACAGGTGGTGGAGGGGGAGGCATTACCGGCTCTGATACGACTGCTGGAGCAGCCACAGGAGCAATGGCTGTGGGTGGAGGAGGCGGGTTAGCGTCCTCGGTATCATCCTCCTCTAACTCTGTTAACACCTGCATTCAAAAGTTAAAAGCAATTTGTACAGGAATCTAGAGATAACCGAGCACAATATTATAATGGAAAACACTGTTCATTCTTACCCTGCCCGATTTGCGTGGCATTTGCCTTCCTGATCCAGAGGATTGAGAAAGTAGCATTTTGGCGATATGTTGGATTTGGGCTTGAGATCCTGCGCCAACAACTGGGGCAAAATTAGATGAGAAGTGCGATGGCATGGAATCTGGAATTTGAGGCTGTCCAAAAACAAAAATGGTTATTTTCAAAGAGCTAAGGTAATTTAAAATTTGAAAAAAAAAAACATTACACACAAACAGCCTTTTACTTACTATGAATGCCAGGACAAGCTGTGCTGCAACCTCAGGTGAGAGCCGCTCCAAGACAAATTTCTCAGTAACATCACTTGATGGCTCAGCAGGTGGTTTAGTGACATGAGCTCTTTTTGGCTATCAAAAATAAACAAACAACACCAACAGATAAAGAGAACATGCTGCAGGTTGAAATAAATTGTCTATTAAACTTAAGAATGCAAACATACCTGTTCAATCACATTTTCTGGGCGGTAAAGAGCCTCTAATCTTGGTCTCTTGTGTACACTAGGGGCACTTTCGACAACAGCACGTTTGTGACTACGCCGTGTCTTATCATCCATTTTTGGCATTATTTTAGATATCTGTGAAAAATTTGAGATAACTTATTTGTGTTTCCCTAAACAATTTAATGGTTCAGTAAGGTGAAGAACATACCTCTTGAGGAGTACAACCAAGATCTGTTAAGAGTTTCAAAATTTCTGCATGATATTCCAGAGCACATGGTTGTTTCAGCATATTTGTTAGCTGCAGTTTCAAGTGTTTTCTTACAGAATTTACTTGTGACTTGGAGAGAGTAGGTGGTAAGTTTTCTACAGACAGAAAAAAGTCAGTAACAGTTCTTTATAAATGTAAGAGATAATGAAGCTTTTAATATTGTGATCTTACTGTTTAAGTTTTCTAGGCAGGTGATTACTTTTCCCATAAATTGAGGTCTCATTCGAGCTATCAGAGTAAGTGATCCCATGCAAGTCATTAGGTTGACACTGCTAACATGAGCTTCCCCATGAAACTTCACCAGGAGATTAAATATCATGCTGAAATTACAATTACCATTAATAATAAAATACACAATATATTGAAAAATAACAGAGAACCAAAATACAAAAATAGAACTAACCTGGCTTCTTCTTCTAATCTGCGTCTCCGCACTATCTTCAAAGTTAGTGGAATGTCTTCAAGGTTAAAATCATTTTCTCTTACCATACTATCTGCTTCAGGATATGTTTGGAGCAGTACAACTCCCTCCAAGAACTTAACAGACTGAGTTCGGATGCTGAAGAAATTAATCAAACAAAGCAACAATACTTAGAAAACAAATTGTTGGCTTAATCTACACATGAGCACATTAAGAAAGAGTCATACCCATCATTATCATTGTCAATTAATTTGACAATCTCTGATTTCAAGGTGCACAAGGAGCTCCATGCCTTTTCCATTTGTGAAGGCACTGGTTGAGTACGAGCTATGTACATAAGCGCACCCCGGTAAACTTGAGATGCAGCTTGAACAACTCGCTTCTGTACCTGGGGTGCTGAGTCTCGGAGTAAGAGATCAAGACTATCCATAACCCTTGGCAAAATAGCTGGATCCTTCTTGCTGTCATGCAGAAACAGAAAAAGACATTAAAATATGGTAAAAATAAAATAAGTCAAAAAGTGGCTAAGGTACAATGTTAAAAAAAGTATGCACCATGACTCTTCAATAAACCCCACAACTGCACGTCGTACTTCCATGGTGCGATCTGATTGAAAAGCAATGACATCGTCAAGGAATGAATCCAAAAGATGTGGGTTCTGATTGAGAATGATTTCTTGAATTTTATGAATGTTTTCAGTCTTTAATTTAGGGTCCGTAGAAGAGGTGGCTTCATTCAGCCACTCCACAATCTGAAAAGGTACAAGAAAAGTGACTCACTTTAGAAACAAAACCCTAAAATGTGTGATAAAATATTTAAAATTCATGAGCTTTATGACAGTTTAACTTCTTGCCGCACGAACATAATTCACCTTGTTAAACGGCTTCTCATTTTCCCCCATGTTTACCCCAATTTACGGAGTAAACCAAGATGACAGAAAAATTAAAGTGGAAAGGCTAAAAATTTTGAAGGTTAATCTACGAGGCACTTGCGAAAGGTTGCAATTCGAGGTTCGAAATCCAAAATATATTAAGGTCAGAGAACGTTGCAGAACTTAGACATAGTCAATGCTTCAACAAAAATGGTAAGTTGTCTTTATTTGTCTTTATTTTGAATTGAAACAACAACTCAAATTTCGGTTCGGGGGAGACCGGCGAGAAGAAGAAAGACAAGAAAAATTTAGAAACCGCAAGTCGTCTGTGAAAAGGCGGTGGGTGTTGGCAGTATGAGAAATCTTTAGGAACGAAATATAGCAGAAGTAAAGTAACAACAATGGCGTTGAGTTCAGCACGAAGTTACATTTACATTTGTCAAAAGTCTTTAATTCAGACTTGCACAAGAAGTATATCTACAACATGTGTTCAGAATTCTAAGAAATCATTCCGCAAATTCCCGTACTTTGACAGAGGAACTGCCGAGTTTAACGAACAGCAAAGGACAAATCCCGATCCTAACCTTCCAAGTTTCCGTGAGTGTTTTAGGTTTTAGCTGATCGAATATTAATACTATCCGACTGAATTATTCATGCACTTCAGTAAAATTGTGGTTCACTTGCTTTTTCTGCTTTTCAGGTTACGGCAGAGTACCAGGTTATTTTGATGAGAAACACAACCTTGTTCCTGTGCCGGAGATGATTCCAGAATTAATTGTTCCAGACTTAACAGGGTTTGAGGTTTGTTGGGTTTATTTTTGAATTATCAACCATAAATTAAATTAGTTAAATTTTAAGTATGAGTTTAATATGATACATGATTGTGCTTGTTTCAGCTGAAACCTTATGTGTCTTTCCGAGTTCCCATTGAGCCTGAACCAGCTTTTACAGCCAAAGATTTGTTTTACTCAGTGTATGCCGAGAAGATTGAAGCTGATTATGAACAGGGAAGATTGGATGAGAATGGAATGCCCCTGGAACCCAGTGAGAATGAACTTCTGACAGCTGAACAAGCCAGAGACGCTGCCCTCAAGCTAGGAGCTGACATGTTTACTGATACCGAGAATATTGTTAATGACAGTGAATGGATGAAAGAGCAGCCTAAGATGGAGTACAATTAAAGTACTGTGTATGTTTATGAAATCTGTACAATAAATTGTTTATCTAACCTGCAATCCCGTCATTGTCTCTATTTTTCTTGCTGTCTTGAATTGGATAAGTGAATCGTTACACAGTCTGGTACTCGTATCAATTTTGAATTTCAAAGAGAGAGGGGAACCAACCAGAGCGACAGAGCAGTCAGGAGTAGAATGGCCCTGTTTAGACTTTCAAATGAACGCTTGTTGCATGGGCCTTCCCCCTCCCGTAAAACACTCCGTTAGAAACCGAAACAAGTTAACTTGGACGCGAAGCGGAGCAGAGGGTGGCAGCCCTTCGCATGAGACCATCTCAGGGCCTTTGGAACGACAGTGACCCGCGCGAGCGCTCGACTTTTCGCACCAGCTGCGGTGCAAGGCAGTGCAAGGTGCCACTGCACCTAGCCGCCCACGCCGCCGGCCCGGCCGGGCGGCGACTCCTCGGCACCCCCTTCCTCCTCCCCCGTCTCATCTCGAGAGTCGTTCTCGTCGCTCTTTCTCTCTAGCGCTCTTGGGGCGTTGCGTCTAGGAGCGAGAGAGACGGAGCGGCGAAAACGAGGTGCGCCTGGGCCCTAGGTGCGAGCTTGAGCAGCGACACCGGTGTGGGGCCGTGGGGCGCCCCCCTAGGCCTCCCCCTCCCCGCCGCGGTCCTCACTTCGCCGCCTCAGCCACCGCCGCGGTATTTATTTCGGTATTTCTACGTGTGCTGATGTGTTTTTGTCCCACGCCATGGCCGCCCCGCCGTGCCCCGCCGCCTCTGGCCCTCTGGCTGCCTCTGGCCAGCCGCGACTAAAGCTGCGACCGCCGCTGCGCCGCGCCCCGACGGCCCGCCTCGCCCTCGCCCACCTCGCCTCGCCGCCAGTGGTTGGCGTGGCGCGTCCCGAGGCGTAGCGCGTTCAGCGCGTTGCACAGCGTGGTGGCGGCGGATCGTCTCGTCTCGTCGCGGCCGCGTATCCTGGTCGGCCTGGTGCCCCCGCGCGCCCCGCGCCGCCGCCGTCGAGGCACTCGTGACGTTGCCGCGGCCTGCGCCGGCGCCATGGCTCCTCCGCGCCGCGGCCGGTCGTGATGTCCGCGGCGATGCTCCGGGGGCCATGCGCGCTCTGAGAGGCGCCCCGACGACGGCCAGCCAGCCAGGACGACGACGACGGGGACCCCAGAAGCGGCTGCCCGGAGCGCCGGCCGGGGGGACAGTGCCTGCTTGGCTGTCGATCGGCCTCGGGTCCTCCGGGTGGTCGCGGCGGTCGCGGCGGTCGCCATCGCCGTGGGGTGGAGAGGCGAGATGCTCCAGGCGGCGGTGGGTGGAGGCGGGTGCGTGGGGCGGCCACCCGGCGGCAGAACACGTCGGTGACCCGCGGCCTTGCCCGCGGCCACAACAAGACCGTCACGGGTCGGGTGAGGTGCTAGTGGTGCAGCACGCGGCATGACGGTCAGCTACCAGTATGAGGTGGCGTCGTCCACCTCCGGGGGCTTCACCCGCCTCCTGTTCATGTGGAAGGGGTCGCTGTACAAGCTCATCTACCGCGAGCTGCTGCTGTTCCTGCTGGCTTTCGGCATCCTCAGCGCGCTGTACAGGAACCTCTTCACCGCCGAGCAAAAACGGTACGCCATGATGGGGACGGCCGCCGGCCACTCGGCCAGGGACCACGTGGCCGCGCCCCCGCCTGAGGGGACTCCCCTCAAAACACGCAGCACTGTAAATCTGGGGACGCGCGTCGGCAGCAGTCCCGACCTACGACCAATCCCTTGCCCGGACGCCTCGCCAGCTGACTTATGTAGAGAGTCGTTTACGTCGCCCTGTCTCTCTCGCCCATTTTCGGGGCGCCCTTTGAGTGCAAGAGAGATAGAGCGGCGATCAGTCTGCAGACGCATCGCCGGGCACGGGACATGGCATGGTCTGGCCAGGGCGAGGGCCAGGCCGGCACACATGTTGCAGGACCGCCGTCCGTCTGTGGAGCAGACAGACCCGGTATTCAAACACCGACTCAAGGGGGCCTTCCTTTCCAGGCTGTTCGTCAAGGTGGTGGTGTACTGCGACACGTTCATCAACCTCATCCCGCTGTCGTTCGTCCTGGGCTTCTACGTGGCCTACGTGGCGGCGCGCTGGTGGAACCAGTACCTCGCCATCCCCTGGCCAGACAAGTGAGTGGTATCATGGCGGCCGGGGGTGTAGTGGGGTGGCTCGGTCTCGTCATCGTCGCGCTGGGGCCGTGCCCAACCAGCTGAGCAGCGCGGACCGAGCCAAAATAAAGCGACTGAGCCGCCTAGCTTCAAATACCGGTGTCCTTTTCATTAAGCTGCCTCGTTTAATGAATGTCGCCGTGGCGGCTGGGGCTGGGGCGACGCATGGGCGACGCATGGGCGACGCATGGGTGACGTCGCCCCGAACGCGGCCTTCCCCGCCGGATGTCCCGCCTTTCCGGCGCGCGTGCCGCCATCGCGGAGGCCATCAACAAAGAGGACGTCAGAGGGCAGGGCTGTTTGGCCGGCGTACACGCAGGAGACTGACTCCGAGGGTCGTTTTCGTCGCTCTGTCTCTCTCGCGCGAGCTCACGGGACGTACCCTATAGGCGCGAGAGAGACAGAGAGACGAAAACGACTCCCGGATCGGAATCAGCCTACAGTACACGCGGCCCGCGGCCCGCTAAGGAGCGCGCGTTCCAAGAGATTAGTCAATGTCAGTCTGCCAAGGCCAGCCAAGGCCACGGCCGCCTCTCCACAGTGGCGCGTCAACCCCCGGGAAGGGAAGCATGCTGCACTGGGAAGCTGCAGGCTGCAGCCTGGCGCGCGTGGCGTGGCGGCGCGTGGCGGCGCGCTCGGCCGACTCATCGCGCGGCTCGGCCCGTTGGAGCCTCGGCCGCACTGCCCCGCACTGCCCCGCACTGCCCCGCACTGCCCCGCACTGCCCCGCACTGCCCCGCACTGCCGCACGCGTGTTTGCTTGATTAATTGCGGGCTTAAAATAGGAAATGAAAGGTACGAGCTGCCAATGGCTGGGCTAGGGCTCTAGGCCGGGGGCAGTGGGGCCATGCAGCTCTGCGAAAACTAGGTGCTGGGATCCTGGATTCCCGCAGGTGGGAGCAATCCGCCTTCCTTGCTCACCGGAAAAATAGAAAAAGAATCGTGCCAGAAAAAAAGGGTGGTATTTGAACCCGTGACAGCGCCGCCCCCATCCCCTTTGCTTCGCATGACACATTCGCCGTGTCCGCGGCCCGTTGGACCGCATAAACCGACTCACGGCGCGCGGCATCGCTCACTTCGCACGTGTGTTTGCTTGCGGCCGCGTGCGTCTGTGTGTGTGTGTGTGTGTGTGTGTGTGTGTGTGCGTGCGCGCGCGCCGTGGGTGACATTAGGCGCCTTTCCAAACAGCCACTGCAATGGCCTGCAGCCTATGCACATCGGTTCCCACACCGTCAAACAAACTTTCCAAAAGTCTTTCTGTCTGTCCAGAATCATGCACTCGATCGCGCTGTACGTGCAGGGCAACGACGACCACGCGCGGATGACGCGGCGCAACCTCATGCGCTACCTCAACCTGACGCTCATCCTGGTGCTGCGCTCCATCTCGTCCGCCGTCAAGCGCCGCTTCCCCAAGCTGGACCACCTCGTCGAGGCCGGTGAGTTGGCGGAGCCCTTCAGTGCCCGTTTGGGTCGCACAGTGGGCCAGAAGAACGGTGGAGGCGGCCAAAACTCTAGACGCGTTTTGAGCTCCAGAGTCGCTAAATGGGACTCGAACCGAACCTGTGACCCTACCAATGGATTCCTCGTTCGGAGAGCAATCCATTGGTGGGGTCACACGTTCGATTCGGGTCCCATTAAGCGACTCTGGAGCTCAAAACGCGCCAAGAATTTTGGCCACCCCCACCGGTTTTCTGGACCACTGTGGATCGCTCGCCCACGCCACTACTCAAAACACTGTATTGTGCGCAGGGTTCATGACGCCGACAGAGCTCCAAATCTACCTGTCGGTGCCCTCCGTCGAGTTCAACACGTACTGGATTCCGTGCACCTGGTTCATACACCTGCTCAAGGAGACGCGGCGGTCCAACCGCATCGCGGATCCCCAGGGGCTCAAGATCATCATGGAGGTGGTGCACTCTTCCCCTTTCACGTTGTTGTTTGTTTTTGTTGTTGTTTTTAAAACGCCCGTGACTGGCCGCCTTGCTGTCGCAGGAGTTCAACCAGTACCGGTCGCAGTGTGGCATGCTGTGGAGCTACGACTGGGTCAGCATCCCGCTCGTGTACACGCAGGTAGGCGAGGCGGCCGTGCCGGGCCGGGCGGTGTCGTCGCCCTCGGCCTCCACGGAGCGCAGCGCGTAGCGCCTGTGGATCCGAGGGTAGGCCACCCGCTGCGCGTCCGTGACGGCGCGTGGCCTAAGCAACTTATCATTCGTCACCATTAGTCACAAGAGAAACGACGTCGCGTCGAAGGAAATGCCGCGCCGAGTGTGCCGACTGACTCGCTCGCGGAGTGCTGCGGACAGTTTTCCTCACTGTTTCCTCGTTCTGCCCAACCGCAAGGTGGTGACCATCGCGACGTACTCGTTCTTCCTGGCGGCGCTGGTGGGCCGGCAGTACGTCGAGGACAGCAAGTCGTTCCAGATGGAGATCGACATCTACCTGCCCGTGTTCACCATCCTCCAGTTCTTCTTCTACATGGGCCTGCTCAAGGTGGGCGTGCCGGGCGTGCCGCCCCGTTTTGTGGCGGCGGCAACATTGTGTCGCCGTCGGCGCGGCCGGCGTCGCGCGTCGCGCTCTAGTAACGACCCTAACAACCGCCCCCGCTGACCGTGTCCCTCCCTCCGACTGTGACAGGTGGCGGAGCAGCTCATCAACCCTTTCGGCGACGACGACGAGGACTTCGAGCTCAACTGGCTGATAGACAGGCACACCAAGGTGAGCGCCACTGGTCGACGCGCATGCGGTAACGACTCGGCCGCGGCGGCTCACTCATTCGGGCTCTCTCTCGCACCCATGCGGGACGCTCCGTGAGTGCGAGAGAGACAGAGAGACCACCGCTAGAAATTAGTCTGTAGGCTTCCTCAGAGCGCGTTTTGAGCTATAACGTCCTGTAAGGACTCGAATCGTATATGTGATGAAACCAAGAGATTCCCCAAAGACAACCCGTTGTCCAGTCCACTCATTGGAGGAAATTAGAGCTCAACAGTAGTGCTCGAATTGGCGTTCTGGCCCTCTGGCCTACGGTGCGCGATGGCGAAACGAAATCAGGGCGACGCAGACGTCGCTACCGCGCTCTGTAGTCCCAGTCCAACCGCGCCCGACTGCCCGACTCAGCGGAGAGGAGCTGTCAAACTGACATCTGCTTGTGTGTGTATCGAAGCGGTGCATCAGGGAACAGGGAGCGAAGCCAACAACAAGACTAGCAGCGACGGCGGCTCATTGAGTGGTACTTTTCCGTTGGCGTGCCTGCAGGTGTCGTACCTGGGCGTGGACACCCTCATGACCCGAAGCCCGCCCCTGGTCAAGGACTTGTACTACAACGACGTGGACATGTCCCTGCCGTACACCGAGGCGGCCAGCGCCTACAAGCGCAAGACGTACCGCGGCTCCGTCCACAACATGGTGTAAGTGTGCCCGTGTTCCAGTGTACAGTGTACCAGTGGCGTTTTTTGCACAGTGGATTTGCGAGAGGACCGGCGCCGGCGGCCAAAACTGTAGGCGCGTTTTGGCCGCCTCCACCGGTCTTCTGGCCCACTGTGCCGCTCTGGAGGTGGATGACGGCGAGCTGCTTGTCGCAGGGTCCCCGAGGAGCAGCACGGCATGTTCCTGCCGGAGATCGAGGAGGAGGACGAGAGCGCGTCGCTGGGCATGCGCACGCCCAAGACGTCCATCCTCAGCCTGCACAAGGTGGGGCTGTCGAGCCAGTCGCACCAACAGCAGCCGGGGCAGCAGGCCGGCGCTGGCGCTGCCAACAAGAAACTCAAGTCCGCGGCAGCTATCTGGCGGTAAGGACCCCGCTCGCGCTAGCTCGCGCTCGCTCCCCCGTGGCGAGGCTGCGCTGGCCGCGGCGCTGGCTGTGCGGCTCGTCGCGGTGAGGGGCCGTCAATAGATGTCATTCCGTCATGTGAGTCGGCCACGACATGAGCACTAGCAGCGGCCGCGCCCTGCCCAGGTTCTGGCGTGCTACTCGAACGCCACTGCTCCTCTTTTGCAGACGGAACAGCGACAAGAGCAGGAAGGGCGAGGACGGCGCTCTTCCCCCAGCTGCTGGCGGTGCTGCCGTTCGGACCGCGGCGGTCGGGTCCGCAGGGTCCGCCACCGGGCCGACCGCGGTGACGGGACCCAGAGGCGGCGCCAAGAGCTCCACCGCCTCCGCGGGCTCGGTGGGCTCGGAGGCCGACGCGGTCCTGCAGGCCTCGGCCCCGGCCCGCCCCGTCGGGGGCCCCGTGCCGCGCAACGAGAGCTTCCACAGCTGGAAGTCGTTCTTCAGCAGCCTGGGCGGCTCCCGCAAGGACCACGACTCGTCCTCGCCCAGCGCGGCCAACTCCGAGGAGAGCATCGCGTCGTCGGAGGACGACGACGTCGCCCAGCAGGCGGCCGCGACCGCGGAGGCCGCGGCGGCCGGCCCGCGGAACAGCAACTCCTCGTCGGGCAGCAGCGGCGCGGCGACCGCGGCGTTCGAGCGGCGAAACTCGTCGTCGCAGACGCCGTCGCCGCGGCCGGGACGGCCAGGGCGGCCCCGGCTGCAGAGCTGCCCCAAGCTGCTGGTGCTGGTGGGGCGCAACGACTCGACCAGCTCGACGAGCCGCGACGGCCGCAAGAAGGGCGTGCGCTGGAAGCCCGTCCTGGACGACGTCCGCGGCGGCCCGTCCTCGGTGCGCCGCCGCGACTCGGACGAGGACCCCGCCCACCTGTGCCGCTGCTGCCGCGAGCGGCGGGTCGACCGCGACCGCGACCGCCACCTGTTCCTGCGACGGCCCGCGGTGCGGCGGCGGCCCTGGGCGTTCGGCCGCGGCCTGGACCAGCCCGAGATGTCCGGCAGCGCGCCGGACCTGGGCGCCCACTGCGCCTTCGTCCGCGACGAGACCTACTGGCGCGGCGGCAAGTTCCCCGGCACGCCGCCGGTCCTGGCGCTCGGCCAGCGCGCCGGTTCGCGCGGCATCCTCAAGAAGATGATGTTCTGGCGCGGCTCGGGTGGCGTGGCATGCGTCGGGGAGCTGCCGGGGGCGTTGGTCGACGTGGAGGGGGCTGCCGCGGGCGGCAACCACCCCTGCCACGCCTCAACGCACGCGGTGGGCAACGTCGTGGACACTATCCTGACGGTGGAGGCCTCGCCGGTGAGCAGGAGCTTGCCGGACATCGCCGCCATCCGGAAGCGGATCGGGAGCAGGCCCTTCGCGTCGGACTGCGTGGCGCTGCCCGCGCTGCCGGGGGTGCCGGACAAGCCCGACACCCCCGTCGAGGCGCCCGTCGAGACTCCGGTCCAAGCCCCCATCCAAGCCCCCACCGCGCCTTCCAACGCCGCTGTTGACGTGCCCGTCGAGGCGGTCGAGGCCGTTGTGGCGGACGCGGGCGCCTCGCATCCTGCCGCCCCCTCCGAGCCCCCCTCGGAGTCGGGGGGTCCAAGTTGCGGCACCTGATGGCCGTGCGCGCATCGCATCGGGCTTGGGGTGAGGCCTCCACCCTCCCGGCGGGCCAGGTCCGCCAGGTCCCAGTGGAGCACACTTCAGGCCGTGGGACATACATAGGGACAGATCCGGCCAAATAACATGTTTTCCTGCAGCTGAGCTGTCTTAAACATTGTTGTGGTCTTTAAATAATTGTACAGGTTTCTTTTGCAAGAAACAGACAGAAAACTGAAGTGTTATTAAATTATTTTTAGTTAAACAGTTTGCCTCTTTTTTGAATGGTGTGTCATAAGTTTTAGTACCACATGTAATTCCTTGCCTAACTTAAGTATTCATCATTTTCTGTGATTATTGTCAAAGAGAGTTCTTTCTAGAAATGAAGGGGTTTCTGAATGGAAAAGAGGTCAGGGTGAGAAAGGTTTATTACTCTTTATATTATTAGCACATATAGAACTAACACATCAACTTCATTTAGATAAATTTCTAATTACCAACATTTCATGGTTAAAACATACAATATACTGAAGCCAACAACTTGCCACAAAATAATTGTTTTGGGAATGAATTTTCTATTCCTGGTAGGCACTTAAAAATTTGGTAATGCGATTTAAACTCATTGTCAATGATGGATGATTTTCATTTTCTGTTCATATTTCAAAGTAAGGTAGAGTCAGTTGCAACACTACAGAGTGCAACTCAATGCACAAAATGTCTCTTTTCATCTTTTTTCTTTCTTTGAAAAACTGAAAAACTTTGTTTGTTCGTAAGACAAGTCACACAACAAAATCCAACCTACAGAAAGACCGAGTTTATTACAAAATAAGATATTGATTCAGCTGCAATTGGATAATGTTAGAAACAACAAAATCATGAAACCAGGCTCCATGAGGAACACCAAACATCATGCAATGAAACAAGGCAATAACATACAAGTTTGCAAATACGGTAATAGAAGTGCACAATTTGCAGATAATGACACTGGCAATTTAAGTCTCAACATAAACTTTTACACCGCACAATAAACACTTAAAACATTGATTTCAGTCATGCTACATAAACTATATAGTATACATTAGACAACCACACACAACATAATAATTAGACAAAGAAGACCTGTCTACTAACACATAATATATCACTTCACAGTAAATGATTTATGATAAAGACCCACAGTGTGGAGTTTAAGAGAAAACTGCAACAACTCTTCCCATTAGCATGAACTCGTTTGGTCCACAATCCTAGAAAGCATAGGAATTCATACATGGGACCTTCAGTTGCATATTTGGCAGCCAGCTGCATCAGGTGAGATATTCATTGACCAGACATATTGACAATAAATTACAATTGTCAGTCATTACAGGATTCCTAGAATGCACAAAGCATGGAACACATAGTTTCCAGGCATCGCTAAAACAAGGAAACAGAAGACAAGGAAAGCACTTTGCCAACAACATCCAAGGCATTACTAAATAGGAACTTACGCACTAAATTGTTATAGGAAAGCCACTAACAACAATCAATTTAAAATTAAACTACAACAAATATTGTACTACACAAATAAATTACAAACCTAAGGAAAAAAAAGAAACAAATAAATGAAGTACATACATAACGGAAAACAATTTATAAAGAGGACAATGTCCTAGGATATGGAGATACAGAGTGAGGTACAATTTCACAACATCCATTAACTCTTTTGATCATTATGTGTACTTCATGCTCCCGACAAAAAGTCAAATAAATGAAAACCTTTTTAAAACATCATTTAATTATCTGTCAAAACTAGAGAGCAACTACACAGGCAAAACCAACCTCCACCATTGAAAGAAATGAAAGAAGCAACACAGTCACACCTGAACCAAAATATCCTACAACCAAGAAAGCACTCACACTTCCACTCCTATTGGTAGGTTTCTTCAACTTCTGAGAAATAATATTGGGCCATCTGAGATAAACAACGAGACAATGTATCCAAGCGATAGATAAAGAAAACAAATAACAATAACTCCTTTCTTATGGTACTTTATAGATGATGTTCAGCCTTATTGACCATATATGCCAAGATTGACACTCACAAATAACTGAAAATAGGCCACCTTCCTCTTTGTAACATGTCGTCTAAAAAAAAGAAAACAAGAAAAAAACAGGTACATTTAAAATGCAAACAAAAAATTTAAAAATACACCTACAAAACATTACTATAAAAAGAAACAAAACAGTTGGAAGAAAAAAAAAGCAGATACTGAGATGTAATGAGCAACACAATACCTCAAAAATAATACCAGCATCACATTCAATATTGTTTCTGAGAATGATTGAAGTAAGACCTAAAGAGATAAGTGAGAACTCTACGGACTCTACAGATGATATTATTAACTCCTAAGCTATCAAAATTCTAAGCACCTACACATTACACTGTATTTATGAGAACAAAAACATAAACAAGAGGGAGAAAAAGGGAAGCCATGATGTAACGACAAGACAGCCAAAACCTTGTAGTACTGGCTAGGCAAGTCAAACAAATATGGAGAGTGATAAGAACATTTTCACTTCTACTAGGCTAAGCTAACATGCGTTGCCTTGTTCAAGTTCATGGTTCGACCTTGAACTCACAGTGAACAAAGCAATAAGTATAAATGCCAAAAAAATTGCCACACTAATCCATCAATAAACACTGTACCAGCATGAACCTAGCTGGAAGGTATTGGCACATTTTGTAACACTCCAGTAAATTTCATTAACAGAGTTAATAAAGAGTTGGTCAAAAAATATGACACAAAGTGTACTGAACAACAACAATAAAGAGTGGTACCAGAGGGCACCATTAGTTTCCAACACAAGGTAAAGACACTTAACGAGCCTTATGGCCTAGTATACACGATTTGTGTGACACCAAAGATTTTTTAGTAGCTGACTAGCACACTTATAAATGGAGAGTTTACACACCACATCTACATGTAAGTTCTCATAATTGAACACATATGAAAATACCCTAAGGTCACTAATAAATAGTATTTGACAACGATAATAATTCACTGAAGTCCTACAACACATTCCATTCAGTAGGTTAGATTCAATAAATATTTGCCACATGAATTCGAACAATAACGATGTCTTTTGGTTTTTAGTAAATAATGTTTTGAGGAATTGAAAATGAGTCATAAAATTACCACACGTATTAAAATTAGCGTTGAAGTTTTGGTAACAAAAATTAATAATGCCTAAATGCAAGAAAACTAATGATGTAACAGAAATGATATTAGCATTGGAATTTGAAAGTAACACCTTCTATCACACTGCTAGTGGCCTTTAAAGGTACCAAACAGGCTCAAGCTGGAACCACAAGAATACTTAAAAGCCCACAAACACATAGAAAGCTTTAGCACAATTACAGTAAAATTTATTGCTAATGCACTATTTCAATATTTGATTAAATACGCAATTGGAATAATGACAATAATAATATTAATTAGTTACACCACCATTCCTTTAAAATTTCATAGTGCTAAAGCGATTAAATGTGAGATTTGTTAAAATTCTTCATGCCATGGATGCTGTGTTTTTTATCTATGTCATCCAACAATGATCAGTGATATTGAATAATGCAACAAAACAGTACCTAACATAAAACATCCAGCATTTCCAATAGAACGCACTACTAGTGTTTTTGCATTTTTATAAAATAACAATGAGCTAGCTTGCTTGCTTGGTAAGTCAATTTTTTTTTTGTGACACTGTCACAACATTGTTAGGAAAGCAACATCAATTAACACATTGCTCTGAGAATGAGGGTCAAGAAATCATGTCTTGGAATGGTCTGAAAGCAAATGACGACTGCAAATGAAAAGCTGGGCAAGATCTCGGATCACATAACCAGGAACAAAACGCTTAAGGAGGCTGCACAATGCCACGCTTTTCAAGATGCTCTTTGAGTGTGTAGAACAGATTCAATTGCTGTTCTGGTTTCAGGGACAATACCTAAGACAAAAAGAAAAACCTGGTTAGTACCTGAGTTTTGGAACTAAGAAGATTGATGCAGAAAGAAATAGGAGAAAAAATAATATCTTATACCATTTGCAGCAGTTTCTGTGGTGATTGATTGTGAATGAAGCTTGAGATGTAAACATTCACAAATGTAGCCATCAGATATTGACAATCAAAGCGATCCATAATGCCACCATGACCAGGAATCACATCTCCAAAATCCTACAACATTCAGACAAAAATTTATTTGTTGTCTGGAAGGCAAAGACACTCACATAATACTATTACTAATAATAACTGATGAAACCTACTTTAATCTTGAATGCTCTCTTGAAGCCACTGGCAAAGAAACCTCCAAAAGGACCTATGACAGAGCTGAAGGTGGACATAGACAGAGAGTGAAGCATGAAGGGGTACAGAGTGACAGTATTCTTCACACCAATCTGGAAAAAAAAGTTAAACAATTCATCATTTATAAATTTTAGCTGCTAAATGATGATTCTAAAACATTGCACACTACACTGCCGCATGTACCAGTTTCAAGAGTCCAGACATTGTTTCAGGGAGAGTGTACTCCTCAAGGCGGAAGAGACGAGATGGCTCACATTCCATTGTCATAGCGCCCTGAGTTTCACTATACTCAATTGGGCACACGAAATACTGGTATTGACACATCACATAAGACATCTAGAAAATGGTAATAAAATGTGAGTGTAATGAAAAATGTCTAATTTCAAGGAAATTACCAGAATTGAAGCACCCTCTTACCAAAAGTCCGAAGAACACAGTGGCAAGCCCACCTCCGATAAATCCTTCCCATGTTTTCTTAGGTGACAATTTAATCAATGGTGTGCGACCAAAGAAGAATCCAAACACATAGGCCCACACATCATTAATTACTATCATAGAAACAGGAACAATGAACCTGGAAAGTTAAATGAAAAGGATAAGTTTCTATATAAGATGTATCCATATTGATGTATCCATTATGAATAGGCAGAATCAAACTTACCAGATTAGCCCCTCAAATATGTTCTGAATGATGAGATAGCTCTGAGTAACTACTATGAGGAGAGCAACATGAGTCCATGCAAAAAGAGAGAATTGTTTCATGTAATATTTCTTCACAAGAGAAAGGACAAACCACACAAAGCCAACGATATAGAGGCAGAATGAGAAGAAACGATGGTATGTTACAAGAACACGAAGATAATCCTGAAAAAAAAAGACAAAATAAGAATTAGGAATCAAGCGCAATGGTTAAAACTGCATTCTGAGATTCTAAATAGTAAAAATGAACTTACAGTACGATTGATGACAACACTGAAATAATCCACTAGGCTTTCTCCATAGAAGAAGTAATTAGATGTGATCAGGAAATACCATGAGAGCGAGCGGAACCAAGGTAGGCCATGTATGCGATAGACAGCATATCCAATGTTAATAATTTCTTCAAAGCATTTCACTTGGACAATCAAAGTCTGCAAGAAAGACATATTTTGTGTAATGATATGAGTAAAATCATAAAACATGTGCTCCGAAATAAAAGTTCCATAACTTACTGCCACCATAAGCGCTAGTGGTCCAGCATAGATCAGCAGACCAAACCCTCCAATCATAACAAACGTGAAGATTCCTCTGATTGTCCAGTTTCGCCATCTGAAAACCAATTTATTGTTCAATTGACCAGAAGCTGTGAAAAACTTTCATGAAAGAAATTTTGAAACGGGCCAGAGTTGTTTCAAAAGTATGGAGGACATTCAAACTTACCTATCGGAGAATCCCTTCAAAGCAGTATCGAGCAGTTCAGGTGTCTTGTCAGTCCCTGTTGGTATAGTCTTGGTGAGAACAACATCCACTTTTTCATCTGGGCTTTTATCATCTTCAGAATCTAGATCTTCTCGCTGAAACAAACCAGAAAACAAAGAGTAAAAAATACTGAATTGAATGAAAAAAGAGTCGCATCAAAACACGGCACTGTCATATCACAGCACAAGCTTCCGTACAAGATTGTAAGAGCTATGAGGTTTGATGTATGAGAAACGAGTTAGTTAAACTGGACCAGGAAAGTAGAAAAGGCATTGAGTGAACAATGTGTTCAAAAATTTGAGTAAAATACCCACCGGATCACTGTCAATCTCTTGACCCTTGTCTGAGTCTTCTGCTGCTGCCGCCGCCTCAGTGTGTCTCTTCCGTAACTCAGCCATTCTTCAGCACTTCTGACGGAAGAACCAACAAACAATGTATTTCCCAACTCAACGCACAAACTTTGCGATGAAATTGTTTACAAACAAGGCCTTAATATCCATATCTAAAGGCACAGGACGTGAGACATCAACTTCTCTTTAATGTGGTAAATACGCACGACTGTGACGTCACGAATCGATACACCTTGAGCAACACGCCCCATTTACATTAACCTAAAGAGACCATTATGCTAAAGGGGGACGAGAGAATCGACCCCCAAGGAAAAATAAACAGCTTAGCAGCCAGTTTTGACAAAATCTATCCCCTTGACAATTTTTGTGAGCTTCTGAAAATGTGCGAACGGATTGTGTTGTTGCCTATCATGAAAAACAAGGATCGTTGCCAACATAATCTATAAGGAAGAGTCAAAGAAGAGCGGTTTTTCGTGTCATTTCATTCGTTAAAAGCAGGAAAACATTTTCAAAGCCCTAGGAATAAAAAAAACGTCCAATACAAATATCTTTCTTTTTGGGAAATGTTATGTTTTTGTCTAAATATTAAGTAAAGAAGTTTCACTTTTCTCCATCTGTTTTGACATTTGCAAGACAATCCGAATCGTCTGCTAGAAGCGCAGGATTCTGCTATTTTCGGAAGCAGACAAAATGGCCTGCCAATGAAAGAAGAGTCGCCTACATCCTTTGAGTCTAGAAGGCGAACGTTTTCAAAAATACTCACCGCTCTGGTTTCAACTGGCTTTCCAAGACTTGTCGAGAGAGTGCCGCCCGCTCCGCTCGAGGCTCGAGCGCCTGCCTAGAATTTTCCCATGGAAGAAGAAGAAGAAAACAAACTCTTTGTTTACGTCCTCTCCCCTCACCCCCGCAGCCCCCCGCAGCGCTTTTCTGCTGACAGGTGACAAGTGACAGGAGGAAGGAAGAGGAAGGAACCCTGGAAGCAAGCACGAGGCACATGCTAAAACTGAAATCTGTTAGAACTTGAAACCTCGCCGAGAGTGCTGTTCATCATGGATTCCTGGAGGTCTATCGGCTTGCCGGTCGCAGGTGTTTCTTTGATAAGTGCTCTCGGTTATTACTGTCTGTCCCGGCCGGTGAAGGCAAAATCGCCGAGGCAGAAGAGGCTCAAGAAGCAGCAGGAGAACATGATACTGTTCTTTGACGAATCTGGAGCCAAGTGTTATTCTTGCCCAGACCACAACATTAGCACATGCCTTGTGGAGCAATGCCCATTGAGACATTTGTGGTATGTTTGTATACTGAAAGCCACATGTCTAAGGTGCCTGTTGCTTCTTTGTTCAATGACGATATTTCTCCCTCATTTTGCAGGAAAATAGTAAAGATTGTTAGTGAAGCAAGATACACAGTTGATGTGTGTCTGTATTCTTTGACACATCCAGATTTGGAGAACGCGTTTTTGAATCTCCTCAAAAATGGGAAGAAGGTTAGATGTGTGTTTGGAATGAGGAATGACGAGGAGGATAGGTCAGTGAAATTACTTCGATCAGAAGGTGAGTGTGCTTTTGCTATTCATTTAAACAGAATGTTGAGCATTATTTGGCAAGCCTTATGTGAATGTTACAGGTGCCTTTGTGACAGTGAAAGATCGCCATTCACCTGCAACAGTTCCATCAAAATTTGTAATTCCATACCTTCTTATGCATCACAAGTTTGTAATTGTCGACAACAGAATTTTAATCACAGGTTCGATGAATTGGACTACATCTGTAAGTGTTATTCAGGTGTAGTAATTGAGGTTTTGGTCTATTCATTGAGCTATCTCGAGAAAAAAAAGAACCCTCTGCTTCAAAAGTGCCCCTTATAAAAGTCTCGGAGACTAGATTCTTCTCGTTTCATATCACGTTTTGTATCTTCGTGCTTCATTTTATTTGTTTCAGAGCTTTCATGCAAACTGGGACCATATCATCATCAGCACAGACAAATTTTTAGTCAGCCAATTCGTTGAAGAATTTGAATGCCTTCATGCTGGGGGTGCTGGTGGGGATGAAAAGTAAGGTTGCTATTGTTAGTCGTAATTACAATACCTATTGCAATGTTTATCATTTTTAAATTCTCTAAGAAAGTAATTTTGCATTACTTTTGTTTTTTAAACAAGGACTTACATCACAAGACCGACAGTTGGACCTTCTCTCCAAGCTATCTTTTTTAGGAAGCAGTCCCTCTTGTGTAGACCTGATGCTAACCGAAAAAAAAAGTGTGACCGCCCAGACTGCATGTTCACTGTTTACAGGCAAGTTGCAAAATATTATCAATATATCCAGCCTGATTTTGCCCTCTTTTCTAGGGCTTGACTAACAGCTGCTTTCTTTTGTTTTTAAACAGAGCTGTTCTTCACCATATTGTATCAGCATCAGTGTCTATCGACATCTGTGTACAACAATTGACACTGGAAGATGTTGGCAATGAATTAGTCCTAAGTCATGATAATGGTATCAAAATTCGAGTCATCTCTGATAGAGCATATGCAAGAGGCACTGGAAGCCAAATACCTTATTTTATTAAAGAAGGTAAAGTTCAGAATTTTTAATATCATTGTTTAAATAATAAGGTATGTAATTGTTTCTTTTCCCCCTGTTTTTCCCAGGTATTCCAGTTCATATGAAATCTGATCAAGAAACCGTCCATCATAAGTTTATAATTGTGGATGGGAAAACTGTACTATCAGGTTCACTAAACTGGACTATGCAGAGTTTTTTTGGCAATTATGAAAATCTGCTAGTAATAAGGGATGCTGATCTTGTCTCTGAATTTCAAAGGGAGTTTGAGAGGTTGTGGGAATTCTTTCCGACGGCAAATAGTGTAAGGGCATAGTTGCCTGGGCAAGAATATTATCTGTAGATCTAGCTCTTGAAAGGGGGAAATCAGAAGTCCTTTCAGAGATTTTAAAAGTGTTGTGACCTGACCTACTGTACAACTTAAGTATTAGTGTGTAGGCATATATTTTTAGTACCTTGTGTTCTGACAAAGAGAGTGAGACTTTGCAATTTTTAAAAAAATTAAGTGTTTCTTGTTTCTGTCTTGTGAGTTATCTCAAGCATGAGAGCATGTGTTCTTGTTAAGTTTTTAACTTATGTGATACAGAAAATATGATGCATGATAACTGTGAATTAATTGCCAGTTTTGTAGCCCGTCCAGTTATTTTACCGAACTGAAACATAAGTGGCAGGGCTGACAAATAAAGTGACGAATTTTCTGTGTTGGCTTGGACCTTATTTCATTTACCAGGCCCTCGTGCATCTAAGGTGCATTCCAAGTGCACCCTCCCCCTCAACCACCTTCCAGTGGTTGTCACAACAAACTGAAAAGCCCAGCCCCCTTCCCCGGCACTGGAAAGTCGGAGGGAGGGGGGAGGGGGTGGGTGGTGTCCGGGACGCGGAAGAAGAGGGGCTCGGGGCGCGGCGCCCTGGACGGCGAGGGCGGCGTGGCGGCACCTTCGCCGGGAGCGCGAATCGCGAACCGATCCTGGCCATGGCGGGACGCAGGGGGACGCGGCCCAACCACCCCGCCCTAGCAGACGCCGCCGACGCCGCAGGTCCGCACAGCGAGAGACGACGCCGAAACGCTTTCTTTGTCGAGTCATAGGGGCCACGCCGGGCCTTGGTGCTGCCCTTCCGCCGCGGGGAACGCACCGCTACGCATCGCCAGCAGAAGCCCCAGGTACTGCACTGCATCGCTGAAGCACGCAGGTTCAATTGACTGGCCGTGCCGTCAGCATCGGCGCGTACTTTGTACTTCCCTCTGCCGGCGTGGCGGTGCGGCCACTGCAGTGTCGGCCGGCGAGGGTAACACCGGCGAGGCGAACCACCGCTCGCTTGGCTTGGCTGCTTGGCTCCGGCTCGCCGGCGTGAGTAGTGCCTGAGCAGTGTGGCGGTGGAGTTTGATCGATGCCTGCACTGCGTTCGCATCGTTCGCAGCAGGCTGCCGAAAAGAGGCATCTTTTTCGACGCCGTGGCGGTGGATCGGGTGAAGGGGGCGGGGCGGGAGATGGCCTTCCCTCCGTCCCCGTTTGGCGCGGTGCGACAGCAAGCAGGGCAGGCCCAGGGCACCAGGGCACTGTGGTGCTTCCCCGCGAACCGCGATGACGTCACAGCACGGGCAGCGGTGGAGTGGGGTGCTATCTCACCTTGAGGGTCAGTTAGGTGTGGGACCCTCGAAGGCCTCCGAATGGTAGTGCTCCCGCCGCCGGACCGGAGGCAAACCATCCGACAGCCATCGATTCCTAAGGGGACAAAACGACGACGCCTCCCAGGAAAAGGCTAAGCAGGAGTTCCTTGGGTTGCCTGCCTATCCCTTTGCCTCGGGATGCGGTGATGTTTTGGCGGGCGGCTCTCATGATCGGGTTCGATCCCCGATGAGGTCGGTCGCGTTTTGGCGGCTGCGCGCTGTGCCTCAGCCGCCGCGGTTTTCAGCAAGCAGCACGCCACGCCGCGGTCGCCTGCTTCGCCTGCTGCACGACGAGGGTGGCGGCGAGTGAAATTCACCGCAGTATTGATTCACAGCTTGTTCCTGCAACACGCTCATCTCCTCCTCCGCCGCCGCCGCGGTGACGTCAGCCAGCGATTCCTCACGTCGCTTTCGGGCGCGCTGTCTCTCTCGCACTCAATGGCAAGGCGAGAGAGAGAGACAGAGCAACGAAACGATGTGCGGAATCAGTCCACGCGCGTCGGCGTGCGGGAGGCACCTGGAGACTTCCAAGCCTTCCGCAGAGACTTGCCGTGCAGCGACTTGCCGTGCAGCGGCATGGCTTATGGTGTATCACCGCACCGCCCACCTCCCGCGCAAGCCAATTAGGTTATCCAGCAGACTGATTCCGAGACGAGTCGTTTTCGTCGCTCTGTCTCTCTCGCACGCATAGGGCGTCCCGTATGGGTGCGAGAGAGACGGACCGACGAAAACGACTCTCGGAATCAGTCTGCAGGCGGCCCGGCCCGGCCGGGTCGTTTTATGGCGCGTTTCGGACTCGGCCCGCGCGCTCTGCCCCGTCACGCACCGGGGGCACGCCAAGACGGCCGCGCGCTTCTCGAACGCGACTCGGGCGGAGGGGAGGGGGAGGGGAGGGGCATCTGATTCGCTCGGCGAGGTAAGCCACGCGGGAAAGGGAAAGGTGTGGACTCGCTTCGGCGCTCCCCAATCTATTTCTTTTTACATTTTTTCACGTGTTTATTCTGTACTTCTGCAGCGCCATGCGCCGCGTGTTTTCTTGGAAGACAGAGGGAGGGCCTCGGGGAGGGCTGAAGCGCGCCGTGGTGCGCCGTGGGGCCAGCAGACTGATTTCGAGAGTCGGTTTCGTCGCTGTCACCTCGCTCGCACCCCTAGGGCCTCCCTTAAAGTTGCGAGACAGAGCGACGTAAACGACTCTCGGAATCAGCCTGCAGGTGGTGCCACCTGCGCATTGACCCGGTAGGCCCGTCCAGGCCCGCTACCCCCAAGGCGCCACCCGGCCGCCGCCACCAACCACCGCGGCCCGACTGCGCGGCCCGACTCCCCTGACAAACTGAGGGCCAGGTCAACTCGGGGGTAACTCGGGGGTAACTCGGGGGTAACTCAAGGGGAAGTCGGGGGGAAGTCGGGGGGAACTCGGGGGGAAGTCGGGGGGAACTCGGGGGGAAGTCGGGGGGAACTCAGGGGCAAGTCGGGGGGAACTCGGGGGGAACTCGGGGGGAACTCGGGGGCAAGTCGGGGGGAACTCAGGGGTAACTCGGGGGCAAGTCGGGGGGAACTTGATCGACTCGCCCAAACACTAGAAATACGCTCCAAACTAGCACCGTTGCCTTTGTCTCGTTGCCCCGATTCTAAAAGTGCCCCTACTTGCCCCTCTAGCTCAGCGGTTCCCAACCTTGGGGTCGCGACCCCAAATGGGGTCGCGAAAAAATTTTGAGGGGTCGCGGCGAGGTGGCTGGGGTCGCCTGGGGTCGCGGTGGTTTCCCGGCTGGCCCACACGCCGAGCACTGGCTGCTTAAATGGCGCAAAGTTGATCAAAACGGTCACAAATGTGTGTAAAAGATCGTGTTTTGGGTCGACTTTAAGCATCCACTGCTTCTGATCCGAGGCGGTAAATCGCCCTCCCTCAACGGGCAATTGGTCTTTGGACCTTCCTTTTGCATGCCTTTGTTACGGAGTGCGATTATCTGCCTTAGTTTGGGAGCAGTTTTGCCGCAAAGTTGATCAAAACGGTCACAAATGTCTGAAAAATCGTGTTTTGATCAACTTTGTGGCAAAACTGCTCCCAAACTAAGGCAAATAATCGCACTCCGTAACAAAGGCATGCTAAAGGAAGGTCTAAAGACCAATTGCCCGTTGACGGAGGACGATTTACCGCCTCGGATCAGACGCAGTGGATGCTTAAAGTCGGCCCAAAACACGATTTTTCAGACATTTGTGACCGTTTTGATCAACTTTGCGGCAAAACTGCTCCCAAACTAAGGCAGATAATCGCACTCCGTAACAAAGGCATGCAAAAGGAAGGTCCAAAGACCAATTGCCCGTTGAGGGAGGGCGATTTACCGCCTCGGATCAGAAGCAGTGGATGCTTAAAGTCGACCCAAAACACGATCTTTTACACACATTTGTGACCGTTTTGATCAACTTTGCGCCATTTAAGCAGCCAGTGCTCGGCGTGTGGGCCAGCCGGGAAACCACCGCGACCCCAGGCGACCCCAGCCACCTCGCCGCGACCCCTCAAAATTTTTTCGCGACCCCATTTGGGGTCGCGACCCCAAGGTTGGGAACCGCTGAGCTAGAGGGGCAAGTAGGGGCACTTTTAGAATCGGGGCAACGAGACAAAGGCAACGGTGCTAGTTTGGAGCGTATTTCTAGTGTTTGGGCGAGTCGATCAAGTTCCCCCCGACTTGCCCCCGAGTTACCCCTGAGTTCCCCCCGACTTGCCCCCGAGTTCCCCCCGAGTTCCCCCCGAGTTCCCCCCGAGTTCCCCCCGACTTGCCCCTGAGTTCCCCCCGACTTCCCCCCGAGTTCCCCCCGACCTCCCCCCGAGTTCCCCCCGAGTTCCCCCCGACTTCCCCTTGAGTTACCCCCGAGTTACCCCCGAGTTACCCCTGAGTTACCCCCGAGTTGACCTGGCCCTCAGTTTGTCAGGGGCTGCGCGGCCGTCGCGGCCCCGGCCCGGCGGCCCCAGCCCCAGCTTGGCCCCTGTCACCCCCAGCGACCCCTCGCGGCCCCGCCGTCCCCAGCAGGCGCCAGCGGGGCAACGGCGGCCCTAGCGCCCCCCGTGGCAGGCCGGCGGCAACCCAACCCGGGGCGAGCAGGGAGCAATGCACCTCCCGCGTGCACGCACGGCCACACGCTCACGCGCCCGCGGAACAAGCCCCCCCCCCCCCTTTCAGCCCCCCTGCCGCTACCGGCGAGTCCAGTCGGCCCCCGAGCGTCGGGGCGCGCGGACGGAAGTGAAGCGGAAGCCCGCCAGGCCCGCCAACGACGCTGGAGTGAGCGCCGCCGGAGCGGCTTGAAGACGACCCCGCGCACAGCGGCGGGTAGCGCGGGTTGCCGCCAGTGAGTCAAGCCTCGCGTCGTCCTCCACGGCGTCCCCAAGGGGTCCCCACGCGTTGACGAGGACGGCCTTGGCGTTTTCGCGTGTCGCCGGCGCGACCGATCCAAGTCCGTGCGCCGCACGCGTGTGCGCGCTGGTATGCCGGCACCATGACCAGCAGCGCCGCGCTGCACGCGTCCGCGTTCGCCGGCAAGCCAATGTCCCTCGTCGAGCAGAAGAGGATCCAATGGGCCAAGGAGAGGGGTGAGTACAGGGTGTGTAGTGCACTTGGGGCCAGACGACCGGTGGAGGTGGTCAAAATCCTGGACATACCCTCAGAGTAGATAAACAGGACTCGAAACAAACGTGTGACCCCACCAATGGATTCCTCGTTCGGAGAGAAATCCATTAGTGCGGTCACACGCTCGGTTCGAGTGCTGTTTAGCGACTCTGGAGCTGAAAGCGCGTCTAGAGTTTTGGCCGCCTGCGACGGTCTTCTGGCCGGCTGTGCAGTGTAGCGAACGCGGCGCCCTGCGCTCTAGCTGCCAGGAGCGCGCTGGTGCCGGAATGGTTGCCTAGTCCCCCGGCGCTCCTGCGTGCGTGGGCCTAGCCTCGCGTTGCCACGCGCTGCGTGCCCCCATCGATTCCGTGCCTCGCGTGGTGACAGTCACGGCGCACGCCGGCGGGGCCACGCAGCACGCAGCAGGCACGCGCGAGCCGTGCTGATAGAATCTTGCTTCTGATTCGAAAGTGAGCGTTTACAAAGCCTGTTACGCCCCCGAACACATCGATAACTCTTTTGCTGCAGAGGAGATGGTCGGCCTCTGCGGCCTGTGGGGGCCCGACCCCACCCGGGCGCGAGCAGACCACATCGGCGTGCCCGCCAGGTGAGTCTCAGTCTCGGTCCCTTCCCCTACCCTCCGCCCGACTCGGCTCGTTTTCAATGTTTCCTTCCTTCCAAACCAGGAAAATGCACATGGAGAGCTGCAGCGAGGAGGTGCGGACACTGCATGTGACGCTGCAGCGCAGGCCCAGCCTGCCGCCCATCCGGAGGCCGGTGCAGTACCAGGTAGGACAGACGACGGCGTCCTGGAGCGAGCCTCCGAACTGGTTGTCATCCGCCCCTTCCTTCCAGTCGCAGGGGGACAGCACGCCCGAGGAGGCCGCCGAGGCCGGGCCCGGCAGCCAGGGCGGCTGCACCGAGGACTACGTGGTGGGCTACGCGGGCGGCTTCCCCCTCAGCTACCCCGAGGAGGTGAGCTCCGGCTACGCCAGTGACTCGGCCGCGGGGCAGGAGTCGGCGGGCTGGGAGCGCGGCACGCAGCCTCACAGGTGAGCAGCAGGGCGGCGTTGGGCACGCCAGGCTCCAGCCGCCGTGTTTGGCTCGTGCACCAAACATCAGTGGGGTTCGAACACCACTCATTTGGTTCCCCCGGCGGTTCGCGCAGGCACGGAGTCCCGGTGGCGGGCGCGCTGCACGAGCAGGGCGTGCAGGGCGTGCAGGTGGTGCAGCGGCTGCAGCAGGCGCCCTTCCAGGCCACGCAGGCCCCGGCGCAGCCCTCGGCGCCGTACCAGGAGCGCCGCTACGTGATGCGCGGCGGCTGGACGGCCCAGCAGAGCGGCGAGCGCACCAACGCCCCCCGGTCGACGGGCACCTCGGGCTCCGGCTCGGGCAGCAGCGTGTCCTCGGCGTCCTGGGCGGACGAGGCGGCCGCGAGCCGCGCGCGCTGGGGCGACCGCGGCGTGGGCGTGGGCCACCTGTGGGAGCCGAGCGAGGAGGCCGACGGCGCCCCCCGCCTGCCGCCCGTCCTGCTGCGCGCCGGGGCGCCCGCCTGGATGCACCGCGGGCTGCGGAGCATCGACGGCGACCGGGACAGGTGAGTCGGCCGTAGTCGCCGTCCTCTGAAATTACCTAGTCGTTAGCGAGGTTCTAGCTGTCTCTTTATTTCACCCTGACACTTAGTGTGCAATTTGCTCCCCCTCCCCCTCTTCGTCTTGGGGAAATCCGTGGAAATCCGGTGGTGGCGGCCCGCCTACACTGGCAGCCCACGGTGGTCGATAGCGAACCCCTTTCCCTCCGCCCCGCCCCTCCCCGCGGCGCCGTCCTATTTATACTTACAGCGTAGCGCGTAAATATAGGCGGTCTTTTATATTACGCCAGCGGGGCGCGGAGCGGAGTACGGCCCGCCATGAAATCTAGCGTAGTCATGAGCTGCGGTTCGTCTAGCTGTTTGGGGGCGTCATGGCAACGACGTGTAGGTAGCGTAGCCAAGCTGGCCAAGCGTAGCGCCGTGAAGCCTAGCGCTCAGCAGCACTGCTTCTTTTGTAGTGAAGTGACGTCGCAAGTCCTGGTCGTGTCGCACCCCGACTCGGAGCAGGACTGCTCGCCGCCCAGCACTGGCGAGAACGACGACAACCCTTGCAGGTGGGTGCGCCAGTAGACTCATTCCGAGAGTCGCTTTCGTCTCGCCGTCTCTCTCGCACTCATGGGACGTCCCGTACCGGTGCGAGAGAGACGGAGTGACGGCAACGACCCTCGCAATCAGTCTGCAGGTGCATTTGCATCCAGTGTACCAACGCCATTTTCCCCCCAAGTTTTTTCCTCATTTCAAACGTGACGCCGTTGATCGTTCCAGGTCGTTCCTGCGCGGCCAGAACGTGCCCCTGGAGGCGGGCATCCTGGAGGAGAGGCAGCAGCGGCGCTGCAAGGCGATGGAGCACCAGACGGCCATCCGCAAGCAGCTGGAGGAGCGCGACCGGCGGCGCAAGGAGGAGCGGGAGCGGCGCCTGCGGGAGGAGCGCCTGGAGGAGGAGCGCCTGCGCCGCGAGCAGCAGCAGGAGCGGCAGCGCCTGGACCAGGAGCAGCGGCTGCAGCGCGAGAAGGAGGTAGCGCGTCCATCCCACTGCAAAGAAGCGTTCTCGCCGCCACTTACCGCCAGTCAGTTGAAACAAGGCCGAATGCGTTGTTTTTCAAAGCCGTGTTCTCGCGCAGGAGAAGGAGGCTCGGCGCGCCTCTGCCATGCTGGAGGCGCTGCAGGCCGCGGAGCGCGAGGCCAGGGAGCAGAAGAGCAAGGCGAGCCGCAAGCACGTCGCCGAGGCCGAGGCCGTGGACGAGCGCAGCCCCCGCGCCAAGGAGCGGTCTTCGCCGAGGCCGTCGCCGAGGTCGTCCCCGAGGTCGTCCCCTAGGACGTCATCGCCGCGCGCGTCGCCACGCAAAGCCACGTCTCCGCGGAAGGCGACGCCCCGTGCGTCCCCCAGGGCGTCCCCCAAGGTATCCCCCAGGGTGTCCCCCAGGGTGTCCCCCAGGGTGTCCCCCAGGGTGTCCCCCAGGGTGTCCCCCAGGGCGTCGCCGAGAGCGTCACCGGGAACGACGCCGACTGTTGAGACCGTTTCGCCGAGGTGAGTCACGTCAGTTCATCCTCCTTTAAAATAAAGTGCGTCTATTGGCTTGAAAGCCGCAACTGTTGTTCCGTAAACAGGACTGCCGAGTCCAAGCAGCATGCCCGCGACACCGAGGCCCCCGCCAGCGTCCCCAGCCCGGGCAGGCCTGCCCCCAGGGTGGCGCGCACGCCGCCGGCGAGCCCCAGACGCCACCTCGCGTCCGACGGCGCGGCCGAGCTGGCCGAGAAGCTGGCCTTCATGCACGTGGCGGAGTCGGCGGTGGCCAGTCAGGACGGCGAGCGCTGCCACGGCGGGGACGGCGCGCCGGTGGCGGCAGTGGAGCAGCACTGCGAACCTGCCATCGGCGAACCTGCCACGGGGTGGTTCCCGGTGCTGGAGTTCCTCCAGCCCACGCTGCCCCCGGAGTAAGTGCCTCAGTGAGCGCCGTGGCGGGTGGCAGGCCCGCAGCACAGGCCCGCGCCGCGGGATGGCCTACCTTGCATTTCCATTCCCATTACGGGGCCTGCGCTGTCTCACTCTCACCCTCTCGCTGCGCAGCTTCAAGGTGGACCCGAGCGCCGCGCCGCTGCTGCCGCTGCCCGACGGCGGCCTGGCCCTGGTGATGCCGGCGGGCGCCCTCAGCTCCAGGGAGTCCGTGCACGCCGCGCCCTTGTACCCCGGGCCCAGGGTGATCGCCACGCCGCAGCAGATGGCGCTCCTCATGTCCAGGATGCCGATGGGCGAGCCGTCGGGCCACGGCCTCAGCCACGGCCTCAGCCACGGGCCTCGCCTCCTCACGCCCACCAAGTTCCGGCGCCGCCTGCGCGAGGTGGCCACCCAGACGTCGGCAGGGCTGCGGCGTCGCGGCGCGGGCGGTGTCTCGTCGGGGGCCAACAACCGATCGCGGTACGACACGTTGCACAGTGGGCCAGTGGACCGGGTTTTCAAACCCAGAGTCGCCAAACAGGACTCTAACCGAGCGTGTGACCCCACGAATGGACTCCTCGTTCGGAGAGCAATCCATTGGTGGGGTCACACGTTCGGTTCGAGTCCCATTTAGCGACTCTGGAGGCCAAATCCCGTCCGGGATTTCGGCCGCCTCCGCCCGTCTTCTGGCCTTCTCACCCACCGTGTTTGCAGGGCGGGCGGGCGCGCGCCGCTGGGGGAGCGGCCCAAGTGGGGCGTGAACCGGCCGGGCACCACGTACCGCACCCAGAGCGAGAAGGACCCCAACTACGGGCAGCAGCGCCTGCAGCGACTGCAGCGCCTGCACCAGCGGATGCTGCGGCACCTCCGCGCCACCAGCAGCACCACCAGCGGCACCACCGTGCAGTTCAGCGAGCTGGACGCCAGCAGGTGTGCCAGGCCGTCAGGCTGTCTCTCTCGCACTCATGGGGCTCTCCGCAAGGGCGCGAGGGAGACAGAGCGTCCGCTTTTCTGAATCACTCGGCAGGGCGGACGGTAGAAACAAAAACGACGCCCTGCCCCCGTCCGGTTCCGAGCCGCTGCTTGCTGATTAAGCGGTCCCCCTTGGAGTTCGCCCTTATCTCCACTTGCACCCTTCGTGCTCTGCGGCTCTGCGCGAGCGGGCCGTTGACCTGCCTCGGGGCGTCGGGGCGCCTCGGCCCAGCGGGTAGGCTGTCTCGTGGGTCGGGCCGCCCCCCGCCGCCCCGGCCGACACCGGAACCCGGAACCGAGACGAGCAGGTCTTGGCGGGCTGTTTAAATGTTTGGTCAGTATCGACCACCAAGTCCGTCCCGTCTGTCCGCGGCCTGGCCGGGCCTTTCCGCCAGGGCGCCGCCGCGCTACCCGCTCGGACTTGCCCCCCGTGAGGGTCATGCATTTTTCATGAAGCAGGCCGCAGCGCCTCGGCGCGCCTCTCGCCGGGGTCGGGGTCGCCGACCCCTCGACGGGGTGCTCGTCCCCATAAGCGCCCCTCGCGGCGTTTGAGGCGAGAGCGCCTCCGTTGAACGCCGCGCTGCGCTGCGCTCGGCAAAGCGGGTATCGCTCTGGACGCGCGAAAACACACTCGCTTTCTTTCCTTGAATAATGCAAATTAAATGGCGGCCCGGATAAAAATGGCCGCGGATCTGGGTCGCGAGCTGCTTGAGTGGAGCACGGCGGAGTGGAGCGGCTTGGAAAAAAGGGGTGGCAACTCTAGCGCCCACGCAATACGAGTGGCAACTTGAGAGAAAAGAGAAAAGTGGGTGATTCGGTCGCGGCATGCGCTTCGCATGCTTCGCCTTCGCCACCTCATACATCATGGCGGTGGTCGTGCGTGCGGCCAGCCGGCCACAATGCCACAATGCCAGAATGCAGTGATAAGGGAGGCCAACTGGAAGTGGGGCGTCGGGGGCGGGGGCGGCGTGGAGGCATTTCAGTCCGTGGCAGGCCGAACTACATGTGGGGGCGGCGGAGGGGGCTGGGGGTGGCACCGGTTGGCGAGGGACTGTTCGGGGCCACCTTATCCCATGCCGTGCTCGTTCATCATTCAGTCCCTTCTCTTTTCGACCCATCGCTCTTCTGGCCGCGTGGCCCGGCGTGGCCGCCTCCTTTGCGCACTTTGGCCGTTGCCCCCTGCCGGATTGTTTCGCTTTAGCTATCAACCGCGGCCCTCGCGCACAGTGGGCCAGAAAATCAGTGGAGGCGGCCAAAATTCTAGACGCGTTTCGAGCTCCAGAGTCGCTAAATGGGAACGTGTGACCCTACCAATGGATTCCTCGTTCGGAGAGCAATCCATTGGCGGGGTCACCCGCTCGGTTCGAGTCCTGTTTAGCGACTCTGGAGCTCAAAACGCGTCCGGGGTTTTGACCGCCAGTCCACCAGTCTTCTGCCCACTGTGCATCGTGCCTTTCTTGCGATGATCATCGCCTTCGGGCCTTCGGGTTCACAGTGCCCCACGCGTCGGCATCGCGGGCAAGGCCTCCGTTGCCCCACGTCCGCCGGTTCCCATTTCGCTCTGCAACTTTTGCATACTTTATCTGGTCCGCGCGGCGAACCTGACCGAGACGAAGGAGCGCGTCGGGCTGGCGGTCGTGCTGCGTGCTGCGTGCGTGCACTGTACACACAGTGTGCCGGTCCGCACGGTCTGCATCGGAGTGCGCGCGTTGCGCGTTGCACAGCCCAGCGATTAGCACTCATGCTCTGCCTGTGTTGTACGCGTGCTCGCCGAGGAATGCATTTGCCTCTGTGTGTGTGTGTGTGAGTGTGTGTGTGTGTGTCTGTGTGAGTGCGTGTGTGTTTTGCTCTTGTGCTGGGGCATGTAGATGCAGTGCGTCGGGCTGCCACGATGGTGATTGATTCAGTCCGTGTGGAGAAACTCTCCCTTGTTAGGGCGTTTACTTTGTGGCTCGCGAGCGTGTAGTGAGATATCACGCGCAGCTCCGCAAGAAAAGCACGGTAAAAATCAAATCAAAACAAAGTTAAAAAGTGTGTAGCCACACTGCTCTTATTGACAGTTCAAGCGAACATTATCTGCCAAAAAAAAATCTATAATTTTTTTTTGGCGCAGGTAAAGCCTAGACAGCAGAGCGTGGGCGGGGGCAAGTTCCGTGTCCTTGGTTTGCGGAGGTGGCTGCCGCCAGAGATCAAGGACACGGCCCGGTCAGCCACACCATTAGCCGGAATCGAACCCCGACGGCCGGCCAGCCAAGGCCCGCCGACGCCAAGGCCGCGCGCAGCCCTTCAAAACGCGAACGGGGAAAGGGGAAAGGGGGGGGGGGTAATGACGCTGGTTGTGGCAATGGCACGGCGGTGGCTAGCAGTGGCGGGGCGGCACTCGCACTAGGACTAGGGCCCCGGGCCTGGGGACGCCTGATTCGCCCGACTCGCCTGGGGGCGGCTAGGCGCGAGGCTAGGTGGGCTCGGCGGGCTGCGGGTTACTGACCGAGCGTCTTGCACAACTATTCCAGGCGTCCACTCAAACTCGGTGCGAGTCAGTAATAACACTGACGCACAGCTCGGTGTCCAGGGAGGGGCGGGGCGGGGCGGGTGGCCGTGGCCCTCCAAGGGCCGCGGGCGGTGCCGCCGTGCCGCCTGCACTGCAAGCGACCGCATTGGAGCCTGAAGCACGCCGAAGCACGCCGAAGCACGCCGAAGCACGCCGAAGCAGGCGATGAGGGCCTTCGGGACGTCGCTGTGGCGTTTCCCTGCGCGGCTGCGTCGCCGCTCCAAGGTGAATGGCATTTCGCGAAACGACGGCCGCTCGGCTCGGCTCGGCTCGGCTCGGCTCGGCGGGTGTTAGCAATGAAACGGAGCCGATTATTTCTGTCGAAAGTGGCAATAGCGGCTCGGGATCAATGAATGCGCCGTGCGGCCGTGACACCTTTGCCTTTATTTCGGGGTGGCGGACCGAACGGCAGCGCTGTGGCGTGCCGAGCCTGGCTGGCGTGCACCCCGCCCCAGTGCAGGGCGTACTCGGGACCGCCCCGCCCCGCGCCGCCCCGCTCCGCCCCGCCCCGCCCCGCCCCGCCCCGCCCCGCCCCGCCCCGCCCCGCGCCACCCCGCCCCGACAGCGACAACCTGCCGAGTTGATTATGACAGCAAATCGATCCCCTGGCGGCCGCCGCGTCCGCCGCCGCGTCGGGCGACTCGCGGTGGACAACCCCTATCCTGGCCGCGGGTCAGCGACCTCGCCGGACAGTTACCCGCAGCCGCATAGCCACATGGCGGCTTGGAAACAAATCGACCAACACTTCATTGAAATGCAGTTTCCTTTCGGGCTCCGCGCTTCCCAGCCGCCGCGCGGAGGAGGCGAAGAAGCAGAGCGGCAGCCGCCGTGCCGGCAAACTTAACGCTTACTTTTTCAATTCTTGTGTGAATTTTGGAATTTTATTTCGCAAAAAGAGTTACAAAGTTGACCAAGGTTCGAAAGTCGATTTTAAATTCAATCTGTTCTGACTGAGCGTAATGTTCATTGTTTTTATCTCTAGTCGTTCAGGAGGTAGAGACGCCCGAAAATCTCAGAGAATGTTGGGTTTGCACGCCGCTCTACCGCCCTGCCGGCCGTGCCGCGTGCATCAGTATGCGACGTACCGTGAAGAAGAATGAGATTACCAAAGCCTGGGCGGCCGGCGGGCCGGCGGGGGCCTGGGCCTCGGCCTGGGCCTCCCAGTGGCACGCTATCCTGGGCGCCGCGGCGGCCGCGCCGGCACACTGACCGCGATACCCATGCAGGACATCGGCCAGGCCAGGCAGCCGGGCCGCCAGGCCCTTGCAGCAACGGCCGCCAAGCCGCTGGCCGCTGGCAGCGCGGCCGCGGCGCTGCCCCTGACTCCTAGGCCACCCCTCGGACGGACACGGTCCGCGCGTCCCTCGCCGCCGCCGTGCCTCCGACTCCAGCCACACTCCGAACGGTGCCACGGCGCTCCGTCTCCCTCGCTCCCGTACGGAACGCCCCGTGAGCGCGAGAGAGGCAAGCACACTGTTGGGGATCGGCCTGCAGTGCCGTGCCGGGCCGTGCCGCGCGTGCGGCTCGAGCATAACGTACTGCTTGGAGGGCCCTCGTGCGTGCCGTGCCTTTGTCGCCGCGGCGCATGGAGGGGGGGGGGAGCTGGAATGTGAATGTGAATCATGATTGCACGGAGGAACAGCGAGAACGGCACCAGCGCGGGGAAACGGCCGCCTGAATCGGGCCCTTCGTCACTCGGTGCACGACCAGTACAGTGTAGGCTGCCGCGTAAACACGTTGTCCTGCCCAAAGTAATGCAGTGCCGGCCAGGCGGCCCGTGCGACCAGCAGGACCAGGAGGTAATTGTGGTCCAGATGCACGCCTTGTCCGAGGCGGCGCGCCGCGGCGGGGCGGCCCATATCGGTGGTGAAGCACGGCATGGCGGTGGCAAGCCGCCCAGCCTAGCCCAGCCACGCCGCCGAGCCACGCCGCGGCGCAGTGCGGACCAAGCAGCGCGGAGCATGGCGCAAGGAGATTTGATAGCTGTGTGCGTTCAAGCCGATGGCCTAGGCCGGCCTAGGCGGTCTCGGCTTCGGCCCCTTCGGCCGCGTCGGCAGTCTAGGGCAGCGAGTCCCTAGTCCGCGGCCCGCGCAGGGCCTGACTATGGCTATGCACGCGGCGCGGGGCCCGCGGCAGAACCGCGGCAGTGGCACGCCGCCGGACTGACTTACAATAATGTCGCAACGGAGTGTTAGCGGCCGTAACAACCTGTGCGAGGGACTGAGTACAACAGATATATTGTGAGTGGCGGAGAGATGGATGTTGTGGCATTGCCCGGCGCTGCCCGGCGTTGCCGCCACTGGCTGCTTATTTTCGAGCCGCGGACTCGGTCTCGACGGCAAGGGCGCGGCTTTACGGCGTGGAGGCGACGGAGCGCGACGCGGCGGAGGCCAATCATGCCGTAAGCGCGGTCAGCACCCTCACGGAGGCCGCCTTTGTGTCCAGGTCGCCGTCGCCGCCCATGCGGGACAGCCCCGGCTCCGGGGACGCCGCCGGCGACGTGCTGTCCAGGACGTACCGCATCTGCCGGGAGCCGCCGCCGTCGTCGTCCACGTCGGGGGCGTCGAGGCGCTACCCGGGGACGGCCGACGCCGCCGACGGCCACGGACCTCGAGCGGCGCATCGCCCGGGACTCCGCCACGGACTGCAGGAGCACCTGGACCGGCTGGCCACGGCGCCGGCAGGTAAGCCCGGTCAACTGCAGACTCTGATTCCCAGCGGCTTTGCTCTGTCTCTCTCGCGCTCGTGGGGCGATAGAGCAACGAAAACCACTCTTGGAATCAGTCTGCTGCTCAGGTTCGGGATTTGGGTTTGTGGGTTGTCATCACCCCCTTCGTTGACAGGCGTCGGCTTGGACAGTGCCTCTGGTGGCCGACGGGTGACGCCCGCCTCGCGGCCAGGACGGTTCTCCCTTCGGGAGCTCAGCGGGGGCAGCGGGGGCAGCGGGGGCAGCGGGGGCAGCAGCGGCGGCAGCGAGGGGAGTGGGGGCAGCGGCGCGTCCCCCGGCGAGGAGGAGGCCCCCCTGGAGGAGCGGCCGGGCGGCGACAGTCCCAAAGAGGACATTCTCACCAGATTATCCTCTTTAAGACAGGTACTTAACAGACAAAACAGCTGTATTAAAACACACACACATGCACAGAACAACAGCGTTGCATTATTTTGCTGTTGTCTTTCAGGGACTTTTGATGAGGCGAAAGCAGCTGGACCATGTTCTAATGGAGACGGCGACTCTTTCGTAGAGGTCTCCGAGAGCGTCGTTCTCTTCGTTCACCACGCCACTGCCCCATTGCGATCCTCACGTCCTCATGTTTCACGGTTATGACGTCTTAACACATTGATCGCGTAGTTGTTGCTTTGAATAAATTTTTTATCTCATGTACGCAGTTTGTTGTTTCTCTTTACCCTCGTTTCCCAACCACGAACGGCCAGTGTTTTGCGCAAGTCATTGAGCTCATCCCTCTTTCCGCCTGAAGCAGGTGAACGAGGACTCGGGCCAGGATGTCGGGCATCAGGCTGGACGACTTCTTGTCCAAGAAGAAGGAGGTGGCGCAGGTGCTGGACTTGTCCAAGTCCGTGGCGCGCACCAAGGAAGACCTCAAGAAGCTGCTGGACAAGGTGCCCGAGTTCAAGAGCAAGGCGGAGAAGGTAACATAAGTCACGACAAAATGGAAATTAAAACGAAAAAAAAAGACTAACTTATCGTTGACAACGGCAGATCCGCGCGGACGACATCAAGATCCGCGACAAGGACTGGACGTTCAAGCCCACCAAGAAGGAGCTGCGCTACGTGGCCGACTTCACGTTCGCCAACCCCGTGCCGGCGGACATGCGGCCCGTCAAGCTGGAGGACCTCATCTCGGTGCCCATCGACTGGCGGATGCTCACCACTCTGCGGCCCAAGACCAAGCTGGACGAGGAGTTCTTCTCGCGGTACGGCGTGTGCACTCGCGCAATAACGGCAGAAATTCTTCGATTTCAACCTATTTTTGGGTCGTTTAAAGCTGTTTTTAGACCAATCCCTGTTATTCTGAGGTGCAATAGACCCGAGGGGGTAACGACTGGTAAATTTCGTGTCAGCCGGATTACGGATTACCCCGGATTACCCCCAAATCACCTCCGGATTGCAACAAAAATATTCCTGGATTACCCCGGATTACCCCGGATTACCTCCCAATTTGCTGTCAGCCGGATTCCCGAAGTCGTTACCCCCTCGAATAGACCTCATAGTTGGGATACACGCTTTGAGAGTGCATACTCCCTCGGAGCCGACCGTCAAAATAAAATCCGCGACCGGTACTTGAACCCGAGCCCCTTGCTTTGCAGGCTGATTGAGCTGGGCAAGCTGACGCGGTCCACGCTGCAGTACGAGCGGCAGCGCGAGGGCCCGCGCAGCACGTACGCGGCCACGTCGTCGTCCTGGGTGAAGCGCTTCAAGTCGCGCAGTGGCGTGGTGGAGACCAAGGCCACCACGTGCTCGCAGTGCGGCGACGAGTTCTGCGACGGGACGGCCTGCAAGCTCTTCACCTACGACTGCTTCGTGCGCACCAGCATGCTGCCGGCCGGGGCCGCGGGGGCGGGGGGCGGGGACGCGGCCAAGGACAAGGCGGCCGGCGACAAGGCCGGCAAGGAGCGCGGCCGCGGACGCAAGAAGAAGCGACGCGCCGCCAAGAGCGCCAAGGGTCAGTACACACAGTGGAGGCGGTCAAAGCCCCGGACGCGTTTTGAGCTCCAGAGTCGCTAAATGGTACCCGAACCGAACGTGTGACCCCACCAAATGGCTTGCTCTTCGAACGAGGAATCCATTGGTGGGGTCACACGCTCCGGTTCGTCCTGGCCGCTGAAGTGCCAAACTTCGGCTCTCTCAGAGGGCAGTCCGGGGCCAGGGAGTCAAATTTTGCCATTGGTGTCTTTGCCTCGCAGCCGCCACGTCGCAGCCCCCCAGCCGGCGGGGCAGCCCCAGCAAGCCCGGCAAGAAGGCTCCGCGGTCCGCGGCCGGGAACGCCGGCAACCGCGGCGGCGCGAGCAGGGACAGCAGCCGGCACCGCAGCGCCAGCGCGCCGCCAGCCGCACGCCGCGCCACCGCGCGCCAGCACCCCAAGAGCGCCAAGAAGTAGCAGCACGCCATGTCCACGGCAAAATAAAGGCAATCCGGTCACATGACGTTCGTCCTAGTTTCTCGCGTGCCTCTCTCATTTGTACTTCGCCAATGCACTTGGAATTTCCAAATCGCACCTACACGTCCAGAAAATTTCCCAAATCCCCAAAGCCAGGTGCGCGTAGCATCCCGGGAGGACATTCAATAATACAAAACGTCTTCTTTTCAACAAACACGGTTTTGAAAATTTGAGAAGAAAAATTCAATCACGGGGACGTGCCCCTGAAACTCGACTCCTCTGCGTTAATCCTCCCCCTATCTCTCTCGCTCATTCTGCTCTAGTATCGTCCGGCGCGTCGGGAGTGCGAGAGAGACAGAGCAACGCTGACCGGCGCTACGCAAGACGCGAGCTGAAGGGACCGTGTCCTGCCAGGCAGGCCCACGGCAGGCCAGGCCATCCCGCGGTGCGCGTCGCGGTGCGCGTGTAAAGTGCAGCCACCGATAAGGGCCTCTCTGCACGGCACGGATCGGATTTCGTGCTTGGCAACTAAACTGTGCTGCACACTGATTCCGAGAGTCGTTCTCGTCGCTCCGTCTCTCTCGCACTCATGGAGCGTCCCGTGCACGTGGGAGAGAGACGGAGCGACGCAAGCGACTCTCGAAATCAGTCTGCTGGCTACACGCTTTCGATTTCAGAGCCTCGCCGTGACAAGGGCTGCGCTCTCGTGTTGGCACGCTTGTAGTGCAGCAGGCCGAGCGGGCCGAAGCTCATCTCGATGCTATCGCCAACCCATTGCCCAAATGCCCGCCTCGTTCCATTGCTGCAAGGGCCACGGTGCACAGTGGGCCAGAAGACCGGTGGAGGCGGTCAAAATCCCGGACGCGTTTTGAGCTCCAGAGTCGCTAACCGGGACTCGAACCGAACGTGTGACCCCACCAATGGATTTGTCTCCGAACGAGCAATCCATTGGTGGGGTCACAATTTCGGTTCGAGGCCTATTTAGCGACACTGGAGTTCAAAACGCGTCTAGAGGTTTGGCCGTCTGGGCCGGTCTTCTGGCCCACCGTGAGCCGGACAGAACTACTCCGCCCCTTCTCCCTTCGAATTACGTGTGAACGATGCACGCGGTGGCGCGCGGTGGCGCGCGAGCTGATAGAGGAGATGCACCCAAGCGACCACTGCGGCCCAGTCCAAAGCCCGCTCCGGTTTATGGCCCTCGTAAAATCACGCACGCGCCTGGCCGCCTGGCCGCCTCGCCGCCCCACGCCGCGCCATGTGACGCCACCTCACTGGAGCGGACGTCCGTTCCAGCAGGCTCCAGGCAGGCCCCCCGATGCGCGTCCAGAGCGCCCCGGGCGCAGAGCGGCTGATCCGGTAGTAATTGGCCTCAGTGCACTGCAGCGCACGGCATGCCGCGGGGCGTGGGTTATTGTGCCGTAATACGAGGCTGCAGCACACTGATTCCGAGAGTCGTTTTCATAACTCTGCCTCTCTCGCACCTATACGGCCCGTCTCATGAAAGAGAGAGAGACAGAGCGACGGCAACGTCTCTCAGGTTCAGAGCGGCTGAGGCGACTGCCGCCAGGTGGTGCTCGCGGCGCCAACACATCGGCATTTTTGCGAGGCTCCGTTTGCACTGCGAGGCTCACATTTTTCGGCGCGTGGTCAAAAATAAAAGACAGGATTTAAGTCGAAAATAAAGGGTTTATTCTGTTTTTATGTGTTTTCGTTTTTGACTTAGTAGTGCGTGAGTGCCAGAGCAGGCTGGGCGTGGTGGACGACGGGGACGGCGGCGTGCACGGCGTGCCCGGAGTTGGTGACCACGGCGTTGAAGCCGTTGTGGTCGTCGGCGGTGTAGTGCACGGTGCGGATGATGCCGTCGGGCTGGACCACGGAGTACTCGCCCTTGACCACGTCGCCGTCGCGGGACTCGGAGGCGCTCTTCACGTCGCCGGTGTGCGCGTCGTGGACGCCGTACTTGAAGGAGTACTTGGGGTGGGCCTGCGGGAAGAGCGAGCGGGTCAGTGCCTGGAACGCCTGCAGAAGCCGACCTGGGCCGCCAGGCCCGACACCCGCGTGTTGCGGGCCGGCCTACGCCTGGCGCCCTGGCGAACGGCGGAAGCAGCTCGCCGAAGAAGCAGGTTTTCGACTTTACTCCGTTTTGGAGTCGACTTTCAAACTCAAACTCGCAACCAGATCGGATGTTACTCACGTCGTACTCCTCGTGGGCGTAGCCGTGGGCCGCGGTCGCCACGTAGGTGGGGACGAGCCCGGCCGATGCCACCGCCACCAGCGCCGCCAGCACGACCACGACCTGGGGGCAGAAAGGAGGCCTTAGTGCCGTGTGACCACGTGACCAGTGCGAGGGCTCGCGTGGACCGGACGCATAACGCCAAGGGCGCGGACGCATTTCCAACATGGCGGCCCATGACTGTGGGCCACCTATACTACTCACAACGACAGTGCCATACTACTGACAACGGGGCCGGACATTTTTCCTGGCGCTTATGGCTTCATGCCGCTCCATGCACTTGCAGACAGCGTTCCTGCCCTTCGCGTTCCGCCTTCAGATTGAAGGAGACCGCGATTGGAGTGAGGGGACGCTGGCCGCAAGGGCCGCAGCAGGAGACGAGGGGCCAGAGCGCTGTCTCCAGCTCCGGTTCGCGTTGGCAGACGAGCAGTCGCAGCCGAGAATTCTGGACTTACCGTGAAGGACTGCATGTTGAGGAGAGGGTGCAGTGGGTCTGCTCGGCTCAGGAGGAGAGAGGTGAGTGGTGATTCGGCTAGGGAAGCAGCCCTCTTATTTATACGCCGGGCTCGGAGGCGTTGGCCCGATCCGGTTCGGAGGAGGATGCGCTGAAATTCGGCAGCAGCGAAACGCCCACGCCTCCACATAACCAGTGGCCCGCCCCCGCCCGCAGCGCACGCACGCACGCCCTCAAGCGCGTCACGTCGGAGGAGCCGCATGCGGAGAGGAGAGAGGCCGGTCCGATATTTGGAGCATTTCCAAAAGTACGAGCGCGGCGACGGTCTAGTCGGCTACTTTGGGGCACTTTTGCTGCTCTCTAACGCTCGTGGCTGTAGGAGCGCCTTGGCCGCACTTAGTTTGGGAGTGCCGGCCTCCGAAAACGGTCAAAATGTCAGAAAATGCAACACGCATTGCTCCCTTCTTGGGCGACCATAGTCAGGCTCGGACTGGCCCCGAAAAGGCCCCAGCAGATAAGATCGCAAAAGGCCCCCGATCATCATTATGTTTTTACCCTTCATGACCAACTTTGTGAGGCTACCGCTCCCAAACTATTTGCGGTCAATAGCCTTCCCGATACAGGGCATGAAAGAGTAGGGTCTTAAGAATACTAGGACGTCGAGGGAGGCCTTTTACGGCGACTAGATTGGACGCAGTGGCCACCCAAAGTCAACAAAATCAGCAAATTTCCGAGATTCGACTACTTTTTGACCAACTTGGTCGGAAAATCGTTGCGGTCAAAGCCAAAATCGTTGTGGTCAACGTCTTCCCGGTTCAGGGCATAAAAGAGTAGGGTCTTAAGAATACTAGGACGTCGAGGGAGGCCTTTTACGGCGACTAGATTTGACACAGTGGCCACCCAAAGTCAGCAAAATCAGCAAATTTCCGAGATTCGACTACTCTTTGACCAACTTGGTCGGAAAACCGTTGCGGTCAAAGCCAAAATCGTTGTGGTCAACGTCTTCCCGATACAGGGTATGAAAGAGTAGGGTCTTAAGAATACTAGGACGTCGAGGGAGGCCTTTTACGGCGACTAGATTTGACACAGTGGCCACCCAAAGTCAGCAAAATCAGCAACTTTACGAGATTCGACCACTTTTTGAACAACTTTGGTCCCAAAATCGTTGCGGTCAAAGCCAAAATCGTTGTGGTCAACGTCTTCCCGACACAGCGCATGAAAGAGTAGGGTCTTAAGAATATTAGGGCGTCGAGGGACGCCGTTGGCCGCAACTAGATCGGACACAGTGGCCGCCCAAATTCAGCAAAAACGGCTACTTTCGGAGATTCAATCACTTTTTGACTAGCTTTGTGGTGTTACTGGCCCCAAACCCGAAGGCCCCGAAGGAAATTATTTCATGTCACGGCCCAGGAACAGGTTGACCACATAGTTGAGGAGCGCCGGCTTGGCAAAGTTGGCCAAATATTCTGTGAGTTGCGTATTTTTTCTGACTTTGGCTAGCTACTGCGTCGCTCGCCACAGCATCCAGTTCAACTTTCGGCAAAGCCCACCGGCAACTTGCTGCAGGTACTCTTGAGATACAGTCTTTTTATGCTCCACTAAATGTAGGTGGGAAATACTCGCCAAGTTCTTCAATAGGGATTCATGTTGGATTTTCTTTTCTTTCTTAGACTTTATCAGGTGTCATTTTACACTGCGTACAATTTGTCACTTAACGCAGCTTGTTTGTGCAAATTTCAAGAAACAATCATGTTGCTGATCATCGCTCGGAAAGTATTTAGGAAAATTCTGAGGTGTCTTCGTAGTATAACCAAAGGTGTGTGCTTCAGCAATCACGATTTTGGCAGATTCTGACACGAACAAAAAAGTGGTGTCTTGTCAAAGAATTTAGCAGTGATTGCTCTTGCCGTCAGGAGGGGAAATGGGTGTGAAATCAATGCCTTTCGACAGGTTCGCTTCAACACAATATAATTTATTTCATCTTTCAATCACATTCAGTCGTTCTCGACAGTCGAGACGGAGGCAGATGGTCGTCTGACTAGTGCGACCAGGCGGCTCAGGAACTTGTTACTGGTGGTAGCCGTGGACGGCGTGGCCGGACAGGCTCACGTGGGCGTTGAAGCCGTGGTGGGGGTCGGCAGTGTAGTGCACGGTCCTGGTGATGCCGTCGGGCTGCACCAGGGAGTACTCGCCCTTGACCACGCCGCCGTGGCTGGACTCGGAGGCGCTCTTCACGTCACCGGTGTGCGCGTCGTGGACGCCGTACTTGAAGGCGTAGGGGGAGGGGGGGCCCTGAGGAGAAGGAAGAAGATGAAAAGTTGTAAAATTTAGGCCAAACTTTGAGCTGATGAGTATTGGAACACGCGACTTACGTGGTGCTCCTCATGGTGGACGGGGGCGTGGACGACGGGGACGGCGTGGTGGACGATGGGGGCGTGGTGAACCACGGGGGTATGGGCGATCTCGATGTAGCTGTTGCCGTGCACGCCGGCCAGCGCCGCCGTGGTCAGGGCGGCCACCACCGCGACGGAGAGAACGATCTGGACAGGAGAACAAAATTAGGTTTTGGCTGAGGTGCTGCGTATCGGGATGCAGTTGAAGTCGACTGTACCGTTGTACCGTACCTTGGCAGACATGTCGGCGGCTGCTGCTGCTTGAGTGAGCGATGGACGGGTTCTGACTCACTAGGCACCACGACACTGGTTATATACGGGCTAGCCGGGCCTCAGCCTGCCCGCCCCCAACCACGTTCATTGAGCCATCATGAGAGAGAGGATTGGGGGAGAGGGGGAGGGGCGGCGGCGGCTGGGCTCGTGGGATCCATTGGGAAAGGGGAGCGGGGCGGGGCGGGGCGGGGCGGCCGCAGCGAGACCGAGGTGTTGGGGGAGACGCGGAAAACAGTGGCAGACTCTCGAAAAAGTTCGACAATCCACAGCCTTTGATTTTGGAAGGACAAGCAACAGTCATCCGCAAAGTTAATGATTCACCGTCTCGTGTGGATGTCGCTGCTGGCGGAGCGGGCGGGGGGCGGGGCTCACCGACCGTCGCCAACTATTTCAATGACTCGGTTCACCCAGCGGACTATCCCACTGCGCCGGGCAGATGAATAAATTAGCTTGGTGCGCAGGCATGTTGTGCGACAAGAAGGCCTTTGCTTTTAGACCCGCCGCGGCCAGCAGAAAGGGAAACGTGCTCTTGCGCGACTGCACACTGTATTGCAATTTGGTCCAGATGAGGACTCGGCGCGACAGGCCGAAGTGGCCGATGGTGTGCGGAACTGAAGCCGACAGGAAACGAACCGCCACTCGTCATACGCACACACGCTCATCGACACAGTTCCGCGCGCGTGTGTGTCTGTGTGGGTCTGTGTGTGTCTCTGTGTGTGTCTGTGTGGGTCTGTGTGTGACACACCACGAACGATTAGAGACACGCGAGCCGCAGAGCACGCGTGCGTAAGGGACTGTCTGTTAATTACGTCATGTCTCGCCACTTCTTTTTAGGCCCTCTGTCACACACTTCTTATGACCTTTTTTCCCTCACTTCTACACCTACTTTTTGGTAGTTTCAATCTGCAGCTTGCAACGCAACAACATGCTTCATCCTTTTAAAAAAAGTTAGTTGGTTGTGCAGCGTTCACAAGGTGTAGTCCTGAACCAGATTCACGGGTCTTTGGGGCCCTCATTTGAACCCAATCCAAGTTCGATCCCTAATAGCATGGGTTGCCTATGGGCCCCGCGCAGCGAGCGCGAACCCACTTCTACAACGGGACTTGGTGTGCGTGTCAGTGACGACGGGATGGAGATGGAATCACCGAACCGTGAAGGGAAAGGTAGGACCAGAAAATCGGCACTTGCATCAATGATCTGCGCGCCTCGCATTTCATTAGGGGAATCTTCGTCAGGACGCGCGCAGTTTAATTTTGCTTGCAATTATTGTGGCAATGCGCTGGATCTGCGCGAGACTTCTGATTAAGTCTTTGTTACATTTAGCTCCTTACAGGCTCTTTTGCTGTCTGAATGTGGAGTGTGAGCACGATATGAGTGGGCAGTTGTTCCACCCGTCGGGCATTAATTTTCATTTTCTTTCCATTGACTTTGCTACTTTGATTTTGATTTTTTGGATCATGAAAGACAAGCCTGGTGCTAGAGTCTAGCAGCTAGACACTCGTGCAGCGCCTTGCTGATCTGGTATTTCTTTCCAGTGTCCTGGCGGCGCGGCGAACCATTCGTCCCGACATGCGTGCTGCCGACGGCGCGTTCCGATAATGTGCTCGCGTTTCTTCACATATTGCACCTTCATAACCCTTTTAGCCTTAAAGCCCGCGAGGCCCGGCCAGGCCGTAGGCACCACCATAGGCCTTGCCCGCCGGTCGCTCCACTAGTCCAGAGGGATTACTCCAATGCTGTGGTAATGTGCGCCTTCGCCGGCCAGTGCTGCCAGCCCGGCCAGGGCGGCACGGCGGCAAGCTGGCGGCAAGCTGGCGGCAAGCTGGCAGCCAGGCGTGAACCAAGCAATAGACGCGGTGCCCCACTCCGACACCCCGCCAGGCCGCCAGCCCTTGTCTTGCCTTGGCCGCGTAGTTTGGCACCTCTGCGCTCCGCCCCGCCCCGCCCCGCCCCGCCCCGTCCGCCCCGTCCGCCCCCTGGCCCTGGCCGACGCTGGCCTCTGGCGCCTCGGCAACCCTCTGCTCCCTCGGCGTGGGCGGGCGGGGGCGGCGCGTGGAGGTGGCCATCCCGGGGGGCGGGGCGGGCGGGGCGGGCGGGGGCGGGCGTATTGTAGCGCGTCGGCCGCTGCAACGCGCACTGTGTTGTAGTGCATTTCCTCCAGAGCCCCAGCGAAGCCACGTATAAATGTGCGGGCTTGCCCTCCGAATGTCAGTCAGTGCTCCAAGCTCCTCCTAACAACACCAGCTCACCAGCTCCTCTCCTCGACAAGATGGCCATCAGCAAGGTAAGCAGCAGCAGCCCGAGCAGGCCAAGTGGGCCCCGTTCCTGGACTGACCGACGCCGGCCTCTGCAGGTGACTCTGGCCTGCGTGGTGCTGGCGGCCGTGCTGGGCGTGTCCATGGCTGGCCACGGCAGCAGCTACATCCACGTGGTCCACGACGACTCCCACGGCCACGGCTACGCCGCCCCCGAGCCCGCCTACCACCACGAGGAGTACCACGTGAGTCTCTCTCGCCGCCAGACCGCAGCGCCGACGCCACCGCGACGCACAGTGGGCCAGAAGACCGGTGGACGCGGCCAAAACTCTGCACGCGTTTTGGAGCTCCAGAGTAGCTAAGCAGGACTCGGACCGAGCGTGTGACCCCACCAATGGATTCCTCGTTCGGAAAGCAATCCATTGGTGGGGTCACATGTTCGGTTTGCGTCCCAGGTTTCGACTCTGGAGCTCAAAACCCGTACGGGATTTTTACCGCCTTCCCAGGTGCGTCCACTGTGCGGCGGCCTAGTCTGACTCCTTGTTGTTCGCAGGAGCCGTCCCCCTACTCCTACAAGTACGGCGTCCACGACGCGCACACCGGTGACGTGAAGAGCGCCTCCGAGTCCAGCCACGGCGGCGTGGTCAAGGGCGAGTACTCCCTGGTGCAGCCCGACGGCGTGACCCGCACCGTGCACTACACTGCCGACAAGCACAACGGCTTCAACGCCCACGTCACCCTGTCCGGGCACGCCCACCACGCGCACCACTACTAGGGCCCCGCCGCCCGGTGCACCGGAGTACCTCTGCTGTGTTCAAGTTCTGCTGTGATACGGGTGCGCGACCTGGGTGGCGACTTCCAGTGTCGGCGTCAACGAGAGCCCACTGCCTCCAAGCTCATTACCGCGTAGATGGTGTGGCGGCGCGCGCCCAGCACTCTGCGCCGCTCTATATTTTTGTAATAAACGGCTTCAGACTGACTTGCCGCCTTTTATCCCACCGCTCAACCTTTTCCTCGTTTCGACACATTTCTCTCTCGAAGAAGAATGGATCCCGCCGCGGCGCGCCGCGAGGTGAGGTTCACTGGGAGCGTGTATGCCGCAGCCGAGCCCCCGGCGCCCCGGAATGGGGCCCGAGCCAGTCCAATCGGGACCAGAAATATACCGAATTAATTTTCGACCTCACCTTCATATTGTGACCAATAGTGACCATGGTCGAGGTCTGTTAACTTTTGTTTGCTTTGTTTTTGTTTTTCCTTTTCGCTTTTTTTTTCGATGCGCGACGCGTGCGGGGGGCCGGCAGTGCCCTAGGCGGTGCCGTAACTGGGGCGTGAAGGACGGACGCGCCCTTACACACACTCACACACGCGCACGCACACACAAACACACACACACACGCCCGCACACTGAGTGGGAAATGGGGAAAGATCCAGTGAAAACAAACAACGCTTCTCGAACCAGAGGTGTCCGGAGGCCTCAGGCGTTCCCGCGCGTTGAGGTCACTCGGCCGACCTATCGGCCCGCACCCTGTCGTGCACCGCGTCGGTCCTGGAGGTTCTGGAGGTCCTGGAGGTGCTGGAGGTCCTGGAGGTCCTGGAGGTCCTGGAGGTCCTGGAGGTCCTGGAGGTCCTGAGCCTCAGCCAGGACGCAATCAACGTGCAACTTCCTCGCACTCTGCAGCACTCTGCGCCATTCGACTGGATCTGTTGGCGCGCCGCGCCGCCAGAGGCCGCCGCAACACCACGCGCCATCCGATCCACAAACCGAACTCCGCGAGCGCATCTCCTTACGAGCATCCCCAGGAGGCAGCGCGCGATGGGAGCGCCTATGGGTGTCGCAACAACAACGATAACGATAACAACATCAGCAAGAACAACAAAAACAACAACAACGGGAACTACGTACACTGTTCTGCATATCGCAGTGATTATCCGTGTTTTGTCCGCCGGATCTGCATTTCCACGCGTGCGTGTTCGGAGCGATGCGCATCTGGTGCTGCCGGTCGCCGTCCTCGTCCTCGCCGCCAAGCCTCGACGCCGAGCCTCGACGCCGTGCGTCGCTGCGTCGCCGTGCGTGGAGCCGTGAATTTATGAAACACTATCCACGCCATCCGCCCGTCCGCCCGGCGCTCGTGCGTGCCGCGTGCCCACCCCAGCCCGCCCCCGCCCGCCCCCGCCCGCCCCCGGCCCGCCCCCGCCCGCCCCCGGCCCGCCCCCGGCCCGCCCCCGGCCCGCCCCCGGCCCGCCCCCGGCCCGCCCCCGGCCCGCCCCCGAGCCGGCCATGCCTGCGCGCGGCGAGGCTGGCCGAGGCTGGCCGAGGCGCCCTATCATGCCGAACCTTTCGTCATTTTCCGCCCGGCGTCGCCAAGGTGACCAAGGGCGTCGTGCTTCTGGTGTGGTGTGTTCGGGTGCGTCAATGCAGTGTGGCGGCGAGCACCGCCGGCGAAGCACGGCCTGCCAGGCGCGGATCCAGAACTATTTTCCGGAGGGGGTAATGCAGTGAGTTTTGCCTACGTTTCAGGCGGCCAACCTAGCACTCGTCAGAGCGGGGGTAATTACTCCAATTTCACCCCTCCCCTCTCTGCTCGGACTCGCGACTGCAGCAAGCGTAACGGCCGCGTACGGTGGGCTGCCTACGCGCGAGGGGCAGCTACGCGCGTCGGGCGACGAGCCCCGGGAAACTGTACAGAAAAAGTAAGGTATCTGCATCCTGTAAACAATGAGCACTTCATGCGTTGTGCATTTGGTGCCAAAGCTAGGAAATCAGATTTAAAAGTTTGTCTGTCTTTTGCACGCTTTTGCATCATGCTCCTAAGCTCATCATAGTAGTTGGAATTTCTGTAGGGGTACGACACCGGCGCGGTCATCGCGTTTTCCATTTTTACGTTCCTTTTGTGCGCGAAAACGCCCAGCCCGTTAAGAGCCTGGTTACGATTCAGTTCGGCCTGCGCTTGGCCGCCTCCCTGTGGACCGTTAAACGCCTGCACTGCACGGCCCGCCGCGGCCGGCCCAGCCCACCCCGCGCGCCCTTCTTTTGTATTCGAAAAGAAAAGTATAAAGCCAACGGGCTGTCGGACAGCCTGCATCAGTCACCTCGTTGGACTCGTGGGACTTGTTGGACTTGTCGGGCAGCGGCGCGTGGTGCACATCGTCGCCATGGCTCTGGTTCAGGTGAGGGCGGTCGTCGCGGAGGTGAAGGTGCGGCCTGTTGGAATCCATTGGTGGGGTCACACGCTCGGTTCGAGTCCTGTTTTGCGACTCTGGAGCTCAAAACGCGTCACGAGTTTTGGCCGCTGGCGCCGGTCTTCTGGCGGTCCGACTCGGGTGTCCGATTCAATGGTGCGAACGCGAACAGGCCAGCGGACCACCGCGGGACGCACCGGCCGCGGCTCGAGACCGCGCCCGGGCAGCCGGCCGGTATGGCGGCCTGCATGCCGACGGCCTGGCCGGCCGTTGCCGCAGCAAGTGCCGTTTACTGTCCGTCGATACCCAGATGGATAGGGAGATAAGTTTCACCACAGAGCCCGCGCTGCGCATGCGCGTGTGCGCCCGCCACGCCACGCCACGCCACGCCGCCGCGTTGCTGCAACACATCATTATTTTTTTCCAAAACCAGGATGGCGTTGGTGGGGGCGTAGTGCGAGCGACTCCAGAAGCAGCGCGCCATGCACGCCCGCTATGGGAAATTTATCCCGAGCCGCGGTGATCAATTACCATTTCGCAGACAGGATCGAAGATGACCGAGTCTGGTTATGGGAAAAATGGATATTGTCTCGCGAGGCGAACCTGAATTACGCGAGTGTCTCTCACTGATTGCCCCTGTTCTTCCGCCCCCAGGTCCTGGCGTGTCTCTTCGCGGCGGTGGGGGTCGTCCTGGGTGCGCCGACCTGGCTCGGGGGCGGGGCTGGACCCCACGGCGTCGAGGGCCAGGCCCCGCATCACGCCCAGTCCTACGTGTCCTTCGGCGGCCCCGTCGCCGCCACCCCAGTGCACCTGCCCGTCGGCCCCCGTCACCTCGTGCCAAGTGGTTACGCCCACGCCCACGCCCCCGAACCAGTGGCGAGTGCCTAGTCGTTGTTGCACCGTACGCAGCGGCGGGTATGCAACTCGAATCTCATTTTCAACTGTTGCAGGCCTACCCCAAGTACGCCTTCAAGTACGGCGTCCACGACGCGCACACCGGCGACGTCAAGGACCAGTCCGAGCACCGCGACGGCGACGTGGTGAAGGGCGAGTACTCGCTGCTGCAGCCCGACGGCACCAAGCGCACCGTGCACTACACCGCCGACCACCACAGCGGCTTCAATGCCGTCGTCTCCATCAGCGGCCACGCCATCCACCCCGAGACCCCCAAGATCGTCCACGCGCCCGTAGTCCCGCACGGCCTGCCCGCCATGCCCACCCTCGTCAAGACGCTGTACGCCGCCCCGCTTCCCGCAGCCCACGGCGTGTCCCACGGCGGAGCGACGTCCTACGCCAACGGGGGCCTCATCGCCCACGCCGCCCCCGCCGCCCCCGCCGCCCTTTACGCCCCCGCGCCCCTTTACGCCCCCGCCCCCGCCACTGTCTACGGCCTCCTCCACGCCGCCCCCGCGCCTGCGCCAGCCCACGGCCACGTCCACGGCGGCCACGTCTAGCCTAGCCCTAGTCGGCGCTGACTGAAAGCTCAAAATCGCTGTAAGCCATGTACGTGCCAAAATAAATCCACGCTCAAGTGTGCCATCTAAAAACAACAGTACATTGTTACTTTATTGACAAATGATTTGTAGTGCGATATTACTGTCACCACACCAACAGCTACCCGAGTCCGGCAATGCGCCCTCCCCTCTCCGCTCTCTGTCACTCCCCCTCTCTTTCTCCGCCCGCCACTGCCCATTCGTCCCAGCGGCTCGCGCATTATAGTTCTTATTTTGTTCTTATTTTGCGGCATTCTTCGCCGCGGCGGCACTTGGGGCCCGTAACCACGGCAACCGTGGCAAGAGTCCGTTTATCCGTAATGGTGCGCGGCCTTGGGCAGCCGCGGCTTGCCAGTGTGCCTGCCCCTCTCCCTCCGATTTTGATTTTCCCTATTCAGCAGCGGCGCTTTGCATCGCTTTGCATGCCACTGCACTGCATCTGCATCCTCCCCGCACGCACGCCACTGGCAGTGCAGTGGCGGGGGCAGGCAGCACCGCGCAGCACCGCGCAGCACCGCGCAGCACGCATCGAGGGTGGGAGTGTCCAGCAGCCCCTCCAGGGTCACGCACTTGCGCAGCTCCTTCTCGCCGCCAATGACAGAGGGAGGGAACACGTGGGCCGACGGACAGACGGACGGACAGACGGACAGACAGACAGACGGGCGGGCGGCGCGTGCCGATCGCGGATTGGCCGCGGGGGTGGTTTGGGCGCGAGGGCGGGGCGTTCGGGCCGCGCGAGGCCCGCGTATAAAGACTGGTCGTGGCCGCTGGGCGGCACACAGTCCCAGTGCACCGCCCCGACCAGCCACACCATGTCCTGCACCAAGGTACGGGACAGCCTGCCTTCGCCTGCCTTCGCCTGCCTTCGCCTCCTCCAGGACCTCTGTGGATAGTGCAGTGCGACCGGGACCGAGTGCATCGGCAAAACTCCAGACGCGTTTTGAGCTTCAGAGTTGCGGAAAGGGACTCGAACCAGGTGTGTGACCTCATCAATGGATTCCTCGTTCGGATAGCAATCCATTGGTGGGGTCACACGTTCGGTTTGAGCCTCATTTAGCGACTCTGGAGCTCAAAACCCGTTCAAAATTGTGACCGTCTTCGCCGGTCATCTGGCAAATCCACCGTGCATCGTCCGTCTGATCGGTCGCCTAGAAGACCGTCACGCGGCGTTCCAGCCCACTGGGGCCTACCAGCCGGGAGCACCACTCCATCCCCAAGCCGAACACACACGGGATTGTTTCCTCAGCGAGCGAGTTGGGCTGCGATTTTCGTTATTTGCCGTTCCCATCGCTCTCGTCTTGAGAACGCTCCCGGCATTGTTGTCCTCGATGCTGTCGGTGCACTGTAGGGCCTCCCGGTGCCGTTGCCCCGGCCGTGGCCCGTCTGCCTGGCAGTGCCTGCCCCCCTCGCCTTGGCCGTGGCCGCGTGCCCACCGCGGCCTCGGAAGTGGATCGCTGACATAACCGGCGTCCTTTCGCCAGTGCCGGCACGCCGGCGCAATTGTTGTTGTTGTTTGTTTGTTTACATTCTGGCGCTCATGGAGTGACAGTCGTTGGCGTTTTCTCGTTATTGCCGCAATGAGCATACCTGGTGCCAGTGATTGATGACTGTAGGAAAAACTAGGAGTGCGGCACGAAAGTGATCTCGCTCTTCTTGTTGTCGCGCAGATCGTCGTCCTGCTGGGAGTGCTGGGCCTGGCGGCGGCGCGCCCCGGCGCCGAGTCCTACGTGTCCTACGGCCACGCCCCCCTCATCCACGCCCCCATCGTCCACCACGCCCCCGTCGTCCACCACGCCCCGGTCCTGGTGCATCATGAGCCCGTCGTAAGCACGAATGAGCAAGACTGTGTAGTACCGTGCCGCGTTCCGAGTCACTGGCCTCATGAATTTCGTTTACCTGTGCAGGCCCACCCCGCCTACGCCTTCAAGTACGGCGTCCACGACGCGCACACCGGCGACGTCAAGGACCAGTCCGAGCACCGCGACGGCGGCGTGGTCAAGGGCGAGTACTCCCTGATCCAGCCCGACGGCACCAAGCGCACCGTGCACTACACCGCCGACGACCACAACGGCTTCAACGCCGTGGTGTCTTACAGTGGACACGCCGCCCACCCCGCCCACGCCCCGCTGCTGCACCACTACTGAGCCCTCGAGCGCCTCGAAGGCCGTCATCCTCATCCACATCACCCTCATGGTGCCGCCCAGCACCGCTCCACTGCCCCAATGTGATAATACATCTTAGTATACGTGTGTGTGCTCATCTGTGTGTGTAACTGTGTACATAAAAAAAAATGAAGGTATCTGCAATGCAAGTAAAATGCCTGAAAGTACAAAAAAAGTCAAAATAAATGATCGAAGCTGAAATTGGCGTCGGTTTCTCTCTGATCCGGAACCCAAGTGGAAAATATTGTGAAAAGCTGATATCCAAACCGAGGTGAACGAACATCCAGCTCTCAGGCTTGACGACTGACGACTGCGTGCTCTCGGACGAAGTGAACTTTTCATGAAAAAAAGTGGGCTTGTGGGAACCCGTCAGAAAGGACAAGGAAATGAGGGATATCGAATGGACGAACGAACCAGTCAGCGACTTTGCGCTCTCGGCCACCAGCAGCGGGTTGTTGCAGAGTGCGTTGCACCCGGCCATGGGTTTTGGCACAATCCCGATCTCATTATCTACCGCGCTGCCAGTCGGCCCGAACAGCGCTTTCTGTCTCTCTCGCACTCATTGGGCGACCCGTCGGGGCGCGAGGGAGACAGAGACCGTAAACAAAAGTGATTTACCGCCGCGGATCGCAGCCCTTCTCATTTTCGTCCTCGCCTTGCTGCGCCTTGCTGATCGTGATGCCGGCGTCGTGATGCCGCCACTGCCGCCACCCGCACTGCAAACTCATTCCGAGAGTCCCTGTCTCTCTCGCACCCACACGGGACGCCCCACGAGTGCGAGAGAGACAGAGCGACGAAAACGACTCTCAGTCTGCTGTAGGGCCGCCCTTCGCCCGTTCTAAATTATTCAAAGCAGCGCGCGCTGGCCGCGCCGGCCGGAGGAGCCGGCCGAGTTTGAAAAGTTTGCATTGCGCAAGGTCCGGCCCGGCCAACCAAATGAGCCCCTTTTTTTGGGAGGCTTCATCCCGTAGAAGGGAAATTCAGTTTGGCCACAGCCTCGCGGTGCGTGCGCGTGCTCAGCGGCGGCGTACAGTGGGCCAGAAGACCGGTGTAGGCGGACAAAAATCAAGACGCGTTTTGAGCTCCAGAGTCGCTAAATGGGACTCGAACTGAACGTGTGACCCCGCCAATGGATTCCTCGTTCGGAGAGCTATCCATTGGTGGGGTCACACGCTCGGTTCGAGTCCCATTGAGAGACTCTGGAGCTCAAAACGCGTGTAGAGTTTTGTCCGCCTCCACCGGTCTTCTGGCCCACTGTGCGGCGGGGGCGTCCCGTTCGCGGCGCGCCAAGGAGTGCAAGGAGAGCGGGAGCTGGACAAGCCCCGCATTGTGTTGCAGCCGCACGGCGCCGCGCTGCGCCAACGCGTTCATTGCGAGGCGGTTTGGTAACGCCGTCCCGATTGGGCGAGCCGAGCTGGGCGCCGGCCGATCATTGGTGAATGGAACGGAGCGGGACAAGACACTGACAGCGACTACGAATTGCGACAATGTGTATTTTTATGGCGATATGTACAGGCGATCGATGCGTGAGTCTCCATGGGGCGGGGCCGGCGGGGCGAGGCGGCGGCGGCTAGTGGTAGCCGTAAGGGCCGTAGGGCCCGTAGGGTCCGGGCCCCGGCCCAGGGTGCGCCGGGGCGGGCGCCAGCGCCACGTACTTGGGCGGCGGCGCGACCGGTGGGTGGATGGCGTGCCCACTGTACGACACGATGGCGTTGAAGCCGTTGTGGGGGTCGGCCGTGTAGTGCACGGTGCGCTTGGTGCCGTCGGGCTGCAGCAGCGAGTACTCGCCCTTCACCACGCCGCCGTCGCGCTCCTCCTTGGCGTCCTTGTAGTCGCCGGTGTGCGCGTCCTCCACGCCGTACTTGTACGCGTACTTGGGGTGCGCCTGCAACGAGATTAAAGGGTTCAACGGGGTGCCGGCGGCCGTCGCCCAGTGGGCCAGAAGACCGGTGGAGGCGGCCGAAACCTTAGACGCGTTTTGGGCTCCAGATTCGCTAAATGGGTCTTGAACTGCACGTGTGACCCCACCGATGGATTCCTTCTTCGGAGAGCAATCCATTGGTGGGGGTCACACGGGTCACGCGTTCGGTTTGAGTCCCATTTAGCGACTCTGGAGCTCAAAACGCATCCGCGATTTTGACCGCCTCCACCGGTCTTCTGGCCCTCTGTGCGTCGGACTGCTCCAGCTGCTGCGGCAGACTGATTCCGAGTCTCTGTCGCACTCATGGGGGAGACCACAGGGGTGCGAGAGAGACAGACTGGGCGTGCTCACGTACCACCGGCTCGTGGACTAGGACGGGCGCCGGCCTGTAGTACACCGGCGGCGCGTGCACCGGGACGGGCGCCGCGTGGATGGGCGCCGGCGCGATGTGAGAAATTGCTACGTAGGACTCGGCGTGGCCGCCAGGATAGGGAGACGGCGCGGCCCTGGCGGACGCCGCTAACACAGCTACACAAAACACAGCCTGCAACACACACAGACACGCGCGCCACGCACGGCGCCTTAGCACGGCGTCTTCACACCTCCACGCTGCTCGGCCTGCTCGGCCTGCTCGGTGCTCACACGCCGCGGTATCGACACACTGCTGGGAACCATTGGGAACCATTGGGAACCCGCTGCGCGCTGCGTCAATACCCCGCGGCAAGGTCGGGCACCGGGGCCGGGGGTACTGACGCGGCGCGGGCTCGGCCGTCCGGCGGCCACCCCGCACCACCCCGACGACGACGGCACCAACGGCACTCGCGACGCCGCGACGCGCGCACGCCCACCACGCAGTGGATTTGCCGGAAGACCCGTGGAGGCGGCCGAAACTCTAGACGCGTTTTGAGCTCCAGGGTCGCTAAAGCAGGACCTAGCCGAGCGTGTGACCCCACCAACGGATTGCTCTCCGAAAGAGGAACCCATTGGTGGGGCCACACGCTCGGTTCGAGTCCTGTTCAGCGACTCTGGAGCTCAAAACGCGTCCGGTATTTTGCCCGCCGCCACCGGTCTTCTCCCCCAGCCCACCGTGCACGACCGCCACGCACCTTCAGGTCCATGGTGTCCACGCGGTGGCCCTCGCTCCCTCTAGGTCACTGGCGTCACTGCAGCCCGCCGGCCGCCTCCGCCTTTTATATAGTAGGGTGCAGGGCTCGGCCCGAGGCTTGGCCGGCGACTCTAGGCCGGCGCAGCCCGCGGCGCGGCGCATCGGCACGACGCGTGACCGAAGGACAAAAATGCAGCCTGCAGGCCGGGCTCGGGGCAGGGATGCATGGGGAGCACGGCGTGAGGGTGGTGGCGGGGCGCGAGTCCTCGGCCAGGCACCACTCCGAACAGTCCCTCGTCGCTCTGTCTCTCTCGCACCCCTGCGGGACGTGCCATGGGTGCGAGGGAGACAGAGCGACCACAGCTCCGTTCGGAATCAGCCTGCATAGGCGGGCCGTGCGAAACACGGGGAGGCGGGGCCTGCAGGGCTGCGGCGCGGTGCAGCACAGCGATCCGGAGAGACACCTCATCGCTCCGTCTCTGTCGCACTCGTGGAGCGTCCCGTAGGGGTGCGAGAGAGACAGAGCGACTCCTCAGCGTCGCTGGGCAGCAGGGCGAGCAGGGCCCGCGGGGAAAGGGGAGGGCGACACGACAAGAGAGGCGGTCTCGGTCTCGGTGGGTCTCGGGTCTCGGCGACGGACGGGGCGGCTGGGGCGGCAGGGCAGGGAGGCGAGGCGGGGGCAGCGCTGCTCGGAAAATGTAGAGCTCCGTTTGAAAGACACGCAAGGCCAACCCTATCGTGGGAAACGCTTTTCCTACTGGGTAGCGACCTTTTATCGAAAACGTGTCCGAAATGTCGATAAATCGCAGATCACTCGGCCGAAATGTATCGACGCGCACGAGGGTTTTTGTGACAACGCTGACGCACCATTCATGGACTCGAAAACATGCGGAAACTAAGATGCCGTCAAGATGCTGTCTAACCTTCACGATGCTAAGGAAAGCTCACACTAAAACGGCCGAGGTAAAGCGAGCTCGGCATTGATACACTGGAAACACTGCAGACTGATTCCGAGAGTCGTTTTCGTCGCTCTGTCTCTCTGCCATCCATGGGACGTCCTGTGCTGGTGCGAGAGAGACAGAGCGACGAAAGCGACTCTCGGAATCAGTCTGCTGGAACACCTGTCCGTCGGAGGGTCGGAGGAAACGCCACGGCGAGGCAAGTGCAGGCAAGTGCAGGGAGAAGAAGGGAGGGGAAGGGAGGGCGGCAACGGACGGGAACTCGTAAAACGCCGCGGGGGCAACGCGCGGCGCGCGGCAAGGACGGCAAGGACGCCTCTCTAACTGGACAGGGCCGCTCCAAATGTCAGCGCCAAACATACGCGCCGTCGATAGGCGTTGCCTCTACTTCAGCCGCACACAAGATGACGCGGGATAGCAGGGAATTTTGAAGGGAGATCGGTTCGAAAACGAAGGACAAAATTTGATCGACATAGTTCTACCAGTGCAGTCCGTGCAGAGCGGACAGGCACGCTTTTCCGGTCATAACCTTTCGGCTCCGTAACTGGACTCCCTTCCCGGCCCTGCCAGGGCTGCCAGGGCCTTCTAGGGTCCAGATTGAGCGCTAATGAAAGCTATCGCGGACCGCCATCCGTATTGCGCGAGCCGAATGCAAAGCGTCGCGACAGTCTCGACGCCGCACCAGTGTCCCACCCACGAGAGCAGCGCCCGCCCCGCCCCGCCCCGCCCCGCCCCGCCCCGCCCTCCACTCGCCTTATTACGAGCCTTTATATACGACTGTAATCACACCGGCAGGTTGATTCCGAACTGTGCTTTCGTCGCTCTGTCTCTCTCGCACTCGCGGGGGTGCGAGAGACACAGCAAGCGACGAAGCACTCGGACTCGAGAGCGGAGCAAATCGGGGCTGGTACTCGAAACTGCAACAACTACTTCTTACAATGGGCATGAAGCCCGTTACCTACTAGAGGAAATACCTCTCAAAATTTTGGCTGAAATAAGCTTTGAAGTTTGAATCCTGCTAGTGTGCGAGAGCTGCCACCCTGCCGGCCCTCGCGGTAGCAAGCGCTTCGGCACGAACATGAGTCTCTTGTTGGCCAACCAGAGCGCCGCAATGCTTGCCTTTGCTGCGCCCCCCTCAGCCTCGATGCAGCACGCGCATATTCTGTCTCCATGTATGCTCCACATAACCAGCTAGGCCGAGGGAGGGGGGGGGGGGTATGACAATATGAGTGGACCCGCGCACGCCAGTGCACGCCAATGCACACAAATAATCGTGCTCCTCTGGACATATCAGCGAACACTGACAAAAAAGAGCAGCAAGGAAAATTCCAAAATTTAGTGGGCGGGGTTGGTACTTCCCTTGAACTAGCACCTGTTTCGATAATAGAGGAACAGGTCCCGGAGTCTCGTCTTGTCTTTTTATAAAATACCACCGCGAATTATTTATAGCTTACACTCTCTGTAAAGTTTCCTCTATCAGATAGGATACTGGCATAGAGAGATAAACCCGGGCCTTTTTCGTTAAGTGACGTTATGTCTAATAATTTTCTTGAAACTTTCTTTTTAATATCCTGGTGAAGGTCAAATTGGCGCTCCCTTTCCTAGGATTCAAAAATTCTAGAGATCAGCCATCGCGCCGGTTCGAAGCAGCACCGCGCCGTTGCACGTCGAATGGGTGGCCTATCCTAGCGGCGGAGCGAGCGCTCTAGCTCCACTCCTCTACGACTAGTTCGAGAAGATGCCTACCTCCCGGGCGGGGTTCACCCTCTACTCCACCGCGAAGAGCGAATTTAAAGCGGGAAACATCTTGAGCGTCACGCTGGTGTAACTCGGAATCAAAAGTAAGTATAGTTTCCCATCCTGCGTTGGACTTTTGATAGTGTACTGAGGTGCCGCTTTTGATGCGCTGCCCGGCGGCTGGCACAACTTACTGCCGGCCGACCACGAAAACGAATCCGAATCCGAATCGGGGCCAATAAGTCTGCGAATCGGGAAGAGGGAAGGCCATGGCCAGTCCGGCGGATCGACCACTCCGAATGTGAATATGTGTGTCACTTGCGGGAGCCGCATCGTAACAGCCGTACCAACGTCGGGATGGGATACTAATGTGAATGTGGGTCCATATCGACCCGATAGTCTCGCAATCCTCCTCCCATGTGTGGCGCTGCTGTCCCGATAGGCAGCCGAAGATCGCGGCCAAAACAAATGGCGGCCAATCGATCCCCGGGGAAAAGTTTCTCGCTAAAGAAATGATTCTCTAGAATCCCCACAGCGATGCGGATTTTGCAGCTGTAGATGAACAAAGACGTCGTGAGAGAGTGAGAGAGAGAGAGAGAGAGAGAGAGAGAGAGAGAGAGAGAGAGTGAGAGAGAGAGAGGCCGCAAAGGTGGCGATGTATGAAGTAGTGTGTTTAATATGCGGCGTGCCGTGGGCCACTCCGACACTTGTGGGGCAGTACGCGGCGAGATGCTGGCTGCTGGCTGGCTGCCGGCTGGCCGCTGCCCGGCACGGGCTGGTCCGTGCATATGAGCTCAGGCTGAACTTTGATTGCGAGCTCCACCAAATGTCATCACGCACCGACCGGGCGCATCCTTGGGAGTCGCCACACATTCGGACTAATGGACAGGCGCGATAAAATGTCTTTTCAAACGCGGCGAACTTCTACAAGTCGCACGACGCGAGATTATGTTGCTAGGCGACGTTCATTCATAACGAACACAGCAGATCCTCGTTTGCCACGCCTGTTTTGACTCGCAATCGGCTTTGCGTGATTCTCAGGCGTCGTCGCCTTGCGAGCCCCGAACGCAGGGGACCCACCATACTTACCGCTCTGTCTCTCTCACACTCATGGTCCATCCCGTGCAGGTGCGAGAGAGACAGGACTAGGCGAATCAGTTTGCTGCTGCGTGCCCGCGCGCAAGTCCGCGCGGTCCGCCGCTGCACTGGCCGCAGTTCACCGCACTCGAATAAGTTTGCTCAAGTTTGGCGAGTGCGAGGTGCAAGGTCGGTCAGCGGCCAATCAGAGCGGCGGCCGCTGCTCTCCGAGAGGTTCGAAGGGGCGGGGGTGGGTCGTCCACGCCGTCCACGCCCGGGGGCAACTCGTCCAGGAGAAATGGACGCCAGAGACATCTATATAAGACGAACTTCTCGCTGCGGGGGCTTCAGTGAGTGCGGAGAGAGGAAAGGGGAAAATCGCGTGCTGCGGACTTTTCGCGAAAAACCATGGCGCTCGTTCAGGTAGGCGGAGGGCGAAGACGGTGTCCGAAATGCGTGTGTGTGTGTGTGTGTGTGTGTGTGTGTGTGTGTGTGAGCCTCGTGTGCAGTGACTTGTTTGGCTCTCTGAGCCGCGGCCGCGTTGTGGACCAAGTGTGAACAGTGTGTCCCACCAGTGACAGTGAAAATCTCCTCTGGACCAAACCGCAGGGTGAAGCGTATGTGTGACCAGTACACTGGCACGAAGTTCCCGCGTCGATTCGATACCTCGATTCGATATCTCGATACCATCGCGAGTGCATTCTAATCCGCGTGCCCGCTCCACGGCGCTCGGCCCGATGCTCGTAAACTTTTATGTGTCACCGGCCGGTCCCCTAAGTGGCCTAATTTGGTCCGGGGCCGCGGGGCTGCGCGGAGCCTAGGCCGATCGGCAATGCAGTTGGTGCATGCATTATTCGCACGGGCAGCGCACTGCCATGGCGTGAATTGCAGTGCGGGTACCCGTTCGAACAGTCGGCATAACCGGTGCGGTCCACAGTGGGCCAGAAGACCGGTGCAGGCGGCCAAAACTCTACACGCCTTTTCAGCTCCAGAGTCGCTAAACTGGACTCGAACCGAACGTGTGACCCGAACGAGGAATCCATTGGTGGGGTCACTCGTTCGGTTCGAGTCACATTTAGCGACTCTGCAGCTCAAATCGCGTGTAGAGTTTTGGCCGCCTACGCCGGTCCTCTGGCCCACTGTGTGGGCGTGAGAAGACACGGAGGATGGCCGCGGCTTGCGCGCTGCTTCGCGCTGCGCGGCGCGGCGGCGTGACGCGAGTAGCTTTTCCCGCTGCGACTCCAGATCGGCTCCCCCTGGGCTCCCCCTCCCCCCTCACTTTCCGTTTCAGTTGGCCGTCGCGGCGCGTCGCTCTTCGTCGGGCTGCTTTCTCTGTCTGTTGCACTGCGCCGCGGCCGCGTCGCGTCGCGACCCAGACGCGCTGGCAGGCTCCGCAGGCTGGCCTAGAGCGTTCGCGCCAAACTTGGCCGTGCCGTCCATAAGCTGGCAGCTGATTAGCTATAAATGGAAGCAAAAAGGAAATGGAAGGAAAAAGTGGCCGTGGCGGAGCGCGTGCCTCGGGCAGTGCAGGCAGTGCCTCAGGCGATGCGGCGCCGTGCCGCGGACAGCCTATCCTCCAGGGGTGCCAACTCCACTGAAGCCACTTGTTTCTTCCGTTTTTTGCGCAGGCTTTGTGTGTGTTGGCGGTGCTAGGCGTCGTCACGGCCTACCCCGTGGAGTACGGCCACGGCCCAGCGCAGTCCTACGCCTCCATCAGCAAGCCGACCTCGTCGTCCTACTCGCACGCTCCATCCTATTCGCACGCTCCATCCTATTCGCACGCTCCATCCTATTCGCAGACGACGTCGTACACCTCGTCGCACCCGCCTTCCTACTCGCGAGCGCCGGCGTACTCCCCTGCTCCTTCCTACTCCCCGGCCCCCTCATACTCCCCTGCTCCCTCATACTCCCCGGCCCCCTCCTACTCCCCCGCCCCCGCGTACGCCCCAGCGCCGACCTACTCGCACGCGCCGTCCTACTCCAAGCCGGAGCCCTACGTAAGTGCAATGGTCGTTACATCCAATTTTTAATTTCCGGCATCAAAATCGATTTTCTCTCGCCTCGCCGCAGGACCACCCCAAGTACGACTTCAAGTACGGCGTCCACGACGCGCACACCGGTGACGTCAAGGACCAGTACGAGCACCGCGACGGCGACGTGGTCAAGGGCGAGTACTCGCTGCTGCAGCCCGACGGCACCAAGCGCACCGTGCACTACACCGCCGACGAGTACAACGGCTTCAACGCCGTGGTGACCGTCAGCGGCCACGCCTACCCCGAGCCCGCCAAGTACTCCGCGCCGGCGTACTCGCCGCCCGCGTACCAGGCGCCCGCCCCGCTGTACCACACGGCGCCCACCTACCACGCGCCGTCGTACTGAGCGCCCCGGGCCGAGCCGCCCTCTAGTCCAGCCCCTCCTCGTCCTCTCCAACAAAGCCCTCGCAATAAACTGTGCCATCGCCCCGACCATTTTCGCTTTATTTCCTCCCCCTTGAATTTCTCTCACACAGCGCGACGTGGCACAGTGGCCCAGGGGACCGGTGGAGGCGGCCAAAACTTTAGACGCCTTTTGAGCCTTCGAGTCGCTAAATGGGACTCGACCCCAACGTGTGACCCCATCAATGAATAGCTCTCCGGACGAGGAATCCATTTCTGGGGTCACACGCTTGGTTTGAGAACTGTTAGCGACTCTGGAGCTCAAAACGCGTCCAGAGTTTTGGCCGTCGGCGCAGGGGTCTTCTGGCCCACCCTGCGGGGGTGAGGCGGCGTCAGGTGATTGTGTGCGTGTGTGCGTGTTACAACGCTGTGGATAATGGCTGTCATGAGGGGTGAGGCAAGATTCATAAATCTGCGCGCACCGCGGCCTAGGTGCGGTCCGCAAGGGCCGCGGAGAAAGAGAGAGAAAGACAGAAAGATAAAAAAATGAAATGACAGGTTTCTGGAGACGAGCCAGCCGCGCGCGGCACACAAGAAAATTGATGATCGTCAGAAATGGACCGCGTTAGTCGCGTCGTTGTAACGATGAGGGGATTACGGCTCTTCGAACGGCGGCGTTGCGCCACCGCCATGATCGCCATGCCCTCGCCAGCCCTCGCCGCCTCGCGGTGCACGGCCGCGGCGGCGGCGCGGCAACGCGGCGAGCTCGGGCCTCGGCGTCGAGGAGTAAGCGATTCGGAGGTTATCCGCCTCACGGCCGCACCGCCAGCGCCGCGCGCGGCCGCTCCGGGTAATGTGATAAATAAGTTGTCCCACGCGCCATTTCTCTCTGGAATTCCTCAGCGTCGCATCATGTAGCCTCGCGGCGGGCCGCGGCCTGGACTAGCCTCGCGGCGGGCCGCCGCACGGCGCCGCCTCGGGCAGCAGTATGGGCACAAGTTGATCTGCGCTGCCGCCGGCCGCCGCCGCCGTACCGAGTCTTTTCTCATTATGGAAAGTTCAAGGCGGCCGGAGGAGCAAATCACGTCGAGGAGGCGGAGCAGCGGAGCAGTGCGTCTCTGTCGTGGGAGGCCGCGTGCAGTGGCTTTGCCAGAAGACCGGCGCCGGCGGCCGAAACTCTAAACGCGTTTCGAGCTCCAGAGTCGCTAGACAGAGTTTTCGAACCGAGCGTGTGACTCCACCAATCGGAGAGCGATTCATAGGTGGGGTCACACGTTCGGTTCATGTTGATTCGGCGGCTGACGATCAAGCGGAGATGGGGTGGTTATATCACAGGAAGACCATCTTAAAGACGTAACATTTTTTTCATATTTTTCGTCGAGGCCGTTTTATTGAGGAGCCGCTTCGTTGGATCATCCGTGGACGACGGGCGAATGCACCCAGGCGGGCTGTGCCGTTGTCGGGGGCAGGGGGGCAAAACGGCAAAAAAAGAGCTCGAGCGGAATTGGTTTCGTATGGCAAGTCAGTTTATTTTACAGATGAGGTGACGGATGCGATTCCAGGTACATTGAGGCAAGAGGTTCTTCTTGGTTGATTGAGGTAATAATCCTAGCTTAATAATGGCTGAGACCATGACCGAGACCATGACCGACACCGTAGGAGACTAGGGCGGGTGCGGCGTGGACGACGGGGGCGGCGACGACCTTCTGGACGATCTGGGGGTGCACGGCGTGGCCGGAGTTGGTGACGACGGCGTTGAAGCCGTTGTGGTCGTCGGCGGTGTAGTGCACGGTCCTGGTGGTGCCGTCGGGCTGCACCAGGGAGTACTCGCCCTTGACCACGTCGCCGTCGCGGTGCTCGGACTGGCTCTTGACGTCGCCGGTGTGCGCGTCGTGGACGCCGTACTTGAAGGCGTAGGCGGGGTGGGCCTGCGGGACGGAAGCACAGCGTTACAGTCAGGCACTCCCTCCTTTTTGGCAGTCTGGCAGTGTGGTGACCACTCGGCGTACTCACAACGGGCTCGGCGACGACGTGCGCGACGGGGGCGTGGGCCACGGCGTAGGCGGGGGCGTGTGCGACGGAGACAGCGCCTCCGTAGGCGAGTCCGGCGTGGCCGTAGTCCACGATGCCGGGGATGGGGCTGGCCGACGCCACGGCCACCGCCGCCAGGATCATAACAACCTGCAAAGCGGAAAGGGGTTTCTTAGTCCACGCGCGGATCCAGGGGGAGGCGAAGCACCACGTCGCACTTTGCCCCATTAGGGAGGCAGCCTCCCCCCCCCCCCCTGTCCCCCCCCCCCCCGGGCCAGCCGCCGGCCAAGGGAGCTCAATGGGGCAGTGTCGGCGGTCGGTTTCGAGTTCACTACCACCACCGCGAGTCCAGCTGCAGCATTCCGAACGGGGCTCCGCGGCGCCGGCTGCGGCTCGGGGGGCTTGGAGGGGCCTGCGCCCCGCACGAGGCGACGCACCACGCACCGCACCACGCACCGCACCACGCACCGCACCACGCGCTCCGAACGGCGGGGCGAAGCGAGGCCGGAGCGAGACCGAATAATCAGCGGGTTACGATTTCGGAACGCACTCACGGCCGTGCCATGAACCGCACGGCTGAATCACCCGAGCACGTGCCACTGCGAGGCACTGCGAGGCACTGCACTGCAAGGCACTGCACTGCGAGGCACTGCACTGCAAGGCACTGCACTGCAAGGCACTGCACTTCATGGCGCGACGGTGCAGGACCGAGTCAAGGCTCTCGAGTCGAGCCCCGCCGATGGCAGCAGGGGAGCGGAATGAACCGTCATTTACAGAAAGGCAAACGAAACACGTTCGTTCTCTTAAACATCAAATTTTGAGCGAAAAAATGCAATGACTAGAAACGACAGGCCATGTTTTGGTTCAATGCTGAATCTTGATGGAACGTCCGAGTCTTGAAGCGTTGAGCACTGGCACACTGTCACTTCACAATCCAGGCTGCACTGCGGGCACTTCCAGCGAGGGTGACGACGCCGGGGCCGCCAGGGGGGGCCAGGGGGGGCCGCAGCGAGGGCTGGCCTCTCACCTTGAATGCCATCTTGTGTCTTGTCGGGTGCACCTTCACACTACTACTCCACTGTTCGGCTCTTGCTTGTCGACTGAATGTCCAGCCCAGCCCCAAAGCTTTTATATACAGGCAGAAGAAGCGGCGGCGGCGGCGGTGGCGGCAGCGGCACCTGCTGTGGCACGGCGCAGCCCCGCAGCCCCGCAGCCCCGCCCCGACGGCCCCCACCGCGCAGCAACAACGGCAGCGCGGCAGCGCCAACAAAGGCGGGGAGTAGCACGGCCGCCGAATCGCCTGCAGGCTGCAGCGCTGCAGCGAGCGGCTGCAGAGCCTGCAGAGGTGGCGGCCGGCCGCGCCGCACACGCATTCCGAGAGTCGTTCTCGTCGCGCTGTCCCTCTCGCACTCGCGGGGCGTCCCGTGTAGGTGCGAGGGACACAGAGCGGCGAAAACGACTCTCGGAATCAGTGTGCCGGTCACCCCTCTGCACGGCCGCCAACCTCGTCGCCCCCCGCCCCGCGTGCCCCGCGTGCCCCTCCGTGCCGGCCAGCGGCCAGGAATCGCTGCCAAGAATCGGATCGCCTCGCCGGGCACGGCCGGGCCGCTGTAGGGTGGCTGAATTCGCGCCGCGTGGGAACCCTATCGTATCGCGCGCTCTGTAGTCGCTAGCGTTCCGCGTTGGCGGCGCATGCCCGTTAATTTTTTTGAAAACAACAACAAAAAAGAACAAAAACAACAACGACGACGAAAATGCGCACCCTCCCCCAAAGTGGCTCCTGGGTAGTTAGATCAGCTGACTGAAAGGCCGGCCTAAAGCTACACTTCCCCCTTGTGAGTAGCCAAAAAGTGGCACTTTGACACGCTGCCTCCTGGACGCCCCTGGATGCGCCTCGGCGACGACGACGGCGACGGAAAGCCGCCGAAGACGGCAGGACGTCCACAGCGCGGCCCGTTAGCGCGTCGCGCCGTGTCGTCATCGAGACCGTCATCGTCACCGACGGCCGCCTCTCTCACAATGCGTGCAACCGGCTGCCTAATGAGCCGCCGTCCTGGACCAAGTCCTGGACCCCGAACTGGTCCTGCGGGATGACTCGCCCTCTGTCTCTCTCGCACTCGTGGGGCGCCCCGCAGGGCAGTGTGGGAGAGACAGAGAGCACCGAGCCGACGCGGCCGCGCCCCGGTTCGTCTCCTTTCGCGCGCGGATGCGGAAGGCGTGACGCGCGACGCACTGTTGACTGATTCCGGCGTCGTTTTCGTCGCTCTGTCTCCCTCGCACCCGGAGGGACGGCCCCATGAATGCGACAGAGGGACTCTTCTGAATCGGCCTGCTCCTCGTGGAGGACGTCGTGCGTGACCTTTGGCCGCCACCGCCTCGGCAACCGCCTCGGCCACTGCCAAGGGCGGCCGTCACGCCCTGCATGACGAGGCCTTGCGCCGCGTCGTCGGCGTGGCCTTGACGTGACCTTGACGCGGCCTTGGGCTTGCCGCCTCTTTGCCGCGGCGAGGGACGCGGCGAGGGTGAAAGGGGCATCCTTATGTAACGGCCCTACGCCCAACGCACAGTGGGCCCGAAGACCGGTGGAGGCGGCCAAAACTCTAGACGCGTTTTGAGCTCCAGAGTCGCTAAATGGGCCTCGAACCGAACGTGTGACCCCACCAATGGATTGCTCTCCGAACGAGGAATCCATTGGTGGGGTCACACGTTCGGCTCGAGGCCCATTCAGCGACTTTGGAGCTCAAAACGCGTCTAGAGTTTTGGCCGCCTCCACCGGTCTTCTGGCCCACTGTGCAACGCCCCGCCAAAGAGCCAATGGCGTGCCTCGCCTCGCTCGGACCTCGGGCCTCGGAGGCTTCAAAACGCAATGCCAACGCCCCGAGACGGCCCTGGGCCTGGCCCTGGCCCTGGCCGGCCCGGGTATTACCCTTCGGTATGAACCTCGGTGCCCTCGACGCCCTTGGCCGAGGCGGAGCAGCAACGGGCTGCAGTAATAACACAGCTCCAGTACACTAAAAAAATATCATTCAACGAACGTTAATGAATTAAAATTTTGTATGAAACAAAATTTTGTTTAAAATTTTGTTTTTGTGTATACATTAACGTATAGACACGAGCGAAGTGGCCGGTGTTGGTACTTGCCGTGAGGGACCAGGCATGTTCCGCACTTTTCCCGTACCCTTTTTCTACCAGTGCACTATGCGCGCGCTCATTGTTGTTTATTGTTTTTCCTCGACTTGGAGAAGAGATTCCGTCAATTTCTCCAGGCGGCGCTGCGGCGGCCTTGACGCGCTGGACAGGTTATGCATGTCTAAATGCAGCGGGGGAAACGGACGCGTTGCGTGGCCGCGTGGCCACTTGTCCGCGGTAATTACGTTACGATTACCATTTTGCCAGAGAGAGAGAGAGAGAGAGAGAGAGAGAGAATGTCAATCTGGCCAATGTCATGCCCGACACGATGATGATCGCCCATAGGAAAGTGCAGCGTGACGTCAATGGGTCCCTCTGAGGTCGCGCGGTGGCGTGACCCTCACCCTTGCGGCGGATCCGTAGCCGAGCGGTCAAGATGATTGCCCCTCGGCCCGGCAAACGGTGGGTCGACTCCCTCCAGGCGCGGCCTTTACTCCTTTTTTTTTTTACAATTTCTATTGCTTTTGCGATTGAATGTTGAGAGTGCAAAGCTTTTGTCCGTGGACGATAAGGCTGTTGACTGAAGTGCTCTGGAGCATTCTGCAGCTCGTGGAGTCGGCAGTTAAGCCGTTGCCCTGCACGGCCACACGGCCACACGGCGCCACACGGCCATGGGGCCCATAACTATTTCTGCCGTCGGTCTGCGGCGTTCGACTGCAGCGTTCTTTTCCTCCCTTAGTCCAAGTCTCAATTTCCGTCGCTGCTTTATAACACTGCGTATTTACGGCGGCGTTTTGGTTTTTTCGACATGCGTTCGGCTTGTTCCATATGCATCCACAACGGGCTGATTCTGGACCGTTTACAGTGCTTTCGTCGCTCCGTCTCTCTCGCTCTCATGGGCGGTCCGCAGGGGGTCGAGAGAGAATCAGAGTGGGTCGATATTGCTCGCGCGACTGTTCGTGTGTGTGTGTGTGTGTGTGAGAGAGAGAGAGAGAGAGAGTCTCTCTCTCTCTCTCTCTCTCTCTCTCTCTCTCTCTCTCTCTCTCTCTCTCTCTCTGTGGATATGTGTGTGTGTGTGTGTGTGCGCGCGCGTCACTACGCACTACGCGGCAGCAAAAAATAAAATAAGTTCACCCAGCAACAACGAGTAATTTGATCGATTGAACATATTGATTGACATTCAACCGATAATTGGTCCAAGATAACTATTGAAACTGGTCCCGCAGGACACGACGGCCGTACACTTCACCTTCGGCACGCCTCGCTGCGGTTTCGGTTGTCTCTCTCGCACCTCCCGCGGGGCGACCCACGAGTGCGACGAAGACAGAGAGACCGAACGACCCTTCGGATGCAGGCGGCCGCTCCCGCCAAACCGCCTAACCGTGCAGCACGCATTAAAGCAGAGCCCGGCGGAGCCCTGCAGGCGCATAGCACTGCGCAGCGCATGCACCGAGGGGGCGGCAACGAGCCGAGCCGAGCCAGCCGGATCGACCTCACAAAAAACAGTCAGCATTCGCTGGTGCCAAATCTGGAGGAATGGTTCATAAAAAAAGTGTCAGCAGTGGATAACGACAACGGTCGGTGTCGCTCGTAAGATGGTCGTTGGCACGGAGAGACGGCAAAGTAGTAGGTTTGTCAAAACAAAAAAAAAAAAAACTTTTTTTCCTTTTAAATTATTAGACTCGGTACGAGTGGTACGAGTCCGCGCGCGGTGCTGCGCCGGCGATCAGCTGACGAGGTGGCCAGGCACGGCCGGGCATGGCCAGGGCACTCAAGGACCCAGCAACCACCGCGTCCACGGCCACGCAGCCGCGCTCCAGATAAATATTGCTGGAATGCGCGTTGCGGCTGGAGAGAAGTGCGTGTGGGGGTAGGGGAGGGGGTAGGGGAGGGGGGGGCAAGGATAAGTCGAGGGAAGGCGGGCAGGCAGACCGGCCGGCGGTGGATGGGAAGCGGTGGGCGCCGCGCTCGGCCGCGCTGCCGCAGACTCACTCCGAGAGTCGTTTTCGTCGCCCTGGCTCTCTCGCACTCACGCGGCGTCCCGTCTAGGTGCGAGAGAGACAGATGGCGACTCTCGGAATGAGTCTGCCGGGGGCTCGCCTCGCCTTGCATTGACCGCGACGACTGACTGGCGGAGACAAGAGGCGTGGCTGCCAGGCGTGGCGGCGATTGCAGGGGCGCGGCGCCGCTGTCCGTTTGGCACGGAACGGCGCCCGGCACGGCGCGGCACGGCGCGGCTCGGCACGCCCGGTGAAGGGTAGCCGGCCTGATCACCCCGCAGGCCTCCTTCGGCGCTGCACCGCGCACATATGTATGCACCGCCAGCCAGCGGGTCAGTCCGGCAGGACCGGCTGGCCTCACGCGCGGAGCGTGGCGGGGCGGGGCGGGGCGTGGCGGGGCGTGGCGGGGCGGGGCGGGGCGTGGCGGGGCGGTGCTGTGCGCGGTGGTGACAAAGAAGGGCATCGCCCATGACTTGAGCGCGGGGACTTCAACGCGCGGCGGCGTCCAGAGCGCGCCCTGGTTCCCGCCTTCGCGCCGCCACGCCCGGAAATGCACCGGCAGCTTGCTTTTTACGTAACGATGCGCTCGAGTTTCGGGTTTCGACACGGCCCACTGCGAATCCCGAGCGCCTGACCAACTTCGGGTAGGCAACCCGAGGACACGGCTGCATTGCGGTTGCCTACCCCGGGCCCGACAGGCGCTCCGAGCGCCTGACCAACTTCGGGTAGGCAACCCGAGCGCACGGCTGCACGGCGGTTGCCTACCTGGCGCTCGACAGGCGCTCGGCGACCGTCGCAGCGGAGGTCCTTTACCCCGTAGACGGCGTTGGTGGCGTTGCCTGGCGTGCTGCTGGCTGCAGGCCGGCCGGGGTGCGGTGCGCGGTGCGACAGGGCACACTGTAGGCACACTCTCCGCGACTCTGCGTGTCGCAAGACCGCGGCCCTGCAGGACTTGGCAGGACGCTGC